TTAAAAAAACAATTTATACTTAATAGGGGGGGAAAAATAATGATAAATTTTGAAGGATGTGGGGAGATAAAAATATAAAACACTAAAAAATGAATTTAAAACATCTACCTGAAAGGAACAAATTTTAAAAGAGGCAGGCCAAGAAAGGAGTCTTTAAAAGGAAATTTTGGGGGAAAAAAAGGAAATAAAAGAATTTTTAGATTTTAAAGGGAAAACATTATTTAAATTTTTTTAAAACTTCAGAAAAACAAAAAAAAAAAATAGAATTTAATAGATGTAAAAAAATGTTGCTACCACTCCCTGGGAAACCCTAGGTTGGGGGTAAAAAACGCCCCTTCCCAAAAGCCCGGGGGGATCGAAAACATTTTGAATGGAAATTTGTGGGGGGAAAAATTTAAAAAACTTCTGGGCCCCCTTTTGCTCTCTGGGCCCCCTGATTCCCCAAAATGCTGGTTGTGTATTCAAATTGTTTTTTTTTTTTTTTTTTTAGTTCCCTTTTGGGCAAAAAACTGGTCAAAACCCATCCCAAAGGGGAAACGCACCAAACAGGAAGGGGAAAGGTCAAAAAAGGATCCGGTAGATTTCCCCAAAAAAAAACACATCCGATCTTTAACCCCCTGATCCTTTTTTTAACTGTTTTTAAATTTTTTCTCCCGTATCCCCGCGTAATGCATTTATCTTTAAAAACAACCCCCACACCCCAACGCACCCCCAGTTTGGGGAAAGGGGTTTGGGTTTCCCTCAGATTTGGGGTTTAAAAAAACCCCAAAGAAATTTAATGTTGAATCGGGGGGGCAGCTAAAATGCAGGACGGGGGGGGGTACCACCAAAACGTTGCAAATTCCCCATAATCCTAAAGAGATCCCCAAAAACCCCTAAACAAAAAACTAGCAAGCGGGGGATTATGTATGCTCTCCCGTCATTGATTCCAGGTATGCTGGGTTTTGTATTTTTAAATTTTTTTATTTTTTTTTTTTTTTGTTTCCTCTTTTGGTCCAAAAACTGGTTTAAAACCCATCAAAAGAGAAACGGGACCAAACGGAAATGAAATTTCACAAAGGATCCGGTAGATTTCCAAAAAAAAACACATCCGATCCCTTTAAACCCCTGAAAACCTTTTTTTTTAAAACCCTTTTAAAATTTTTTTTCTCCCTTTTTTGCCACGACGTAATGCCTTGGGTCGAAAATCCACCAAACGCAACGCCCCGCCTTTGGGGAGGGTTTTTATCCGTCAAAATTGGGGTTAAATCACAAAGAATTTAAAAGTTGAATCGGGGCGGGAGCAAAAAAGGGGGGCGTAGGTAGCAGCCAAAAAAAGTTGCAATTTCACATAATCCCCGACGAATCCAAAAAAAGTAGGGAAAAACCCAGCAAAACGGGTGATTAAGTAGTTTTACTAAGTAAAAATATTAAATAAACCCTACACTTATCCTTTTAAAAGTAATCAAAAAAACCAAATTTAAATTTAGAAACCTGGGGGGTTGGGGGGGGGGGGAATAAGGGGGGGGCCCCCTAAAAGTTATTAAAAAAATCTCAGATGGGAAAACCCCAAAAAGTTAAAAGTTTCACATTATCTTTAAAAATCTTTTCAAGAAACGAACAAGCAAGTGAATATTTTAAAAATTCCCCGAGTAAAATTTTGGGCAAAACTAACATTTCTCACTAGAAATGTAAACAAAACTCATTTTTAAAGCCCCAAAAAAAAACTCAAGTTATTAATCTTTCCACAAAAAAATTAAACAGAATGTCGGCCATCTATAAAAATTTTTTTTCTTCTCCCAGCTGGAATCTTGAAAGTCACGTGACTAGGACGTAAAACAATAGAAAGCGTATAGGCAGGAGAAACGTAACAGTACCACAAAAAAATGGCCATTAATGTACCTCCACTACGTTTTGCAGTGTGGACCAACGTAGTGGGGGTACATTTTCCCATGAGACTGGGTTGTCATTGGAGTGGTTCCGTATGTTCGGTATGCAACCTGGAATTGGTTGAATGTTGGGGAAAGTCTGGATATGATCTGTTCTATTACCAGTCTTTTGAAGACCTTCATCATGATGGGAGTCAGTGCAACAGACTGGTAGTCATTTAATTAGGTGACTTAAGGCTTCTTTTGGCCCGGAATTATAAAAGTAAGACATAAAGCATGCTAGCATTATGGCTTGGTCCAGCAAGGTGTTGAAAATGTTAGTCAGGACAACAGCCATCTGACCTGCACACTCTTTGAAAATCCGCCCAGGTATGTCATCGGGGCCTGGGGCCTTCCGCGGGTTGATCTCCTCAAAATCTTCCACATGTCAGCTGTGTCAAGGCAGAGTGCCTCCTCTCCCTGATGGGGAATAGCTTTCACTGCTGGGATGCTGTTTAGTGCCTCACATCTCCCAAAGAAGTTGCTTAGTCCATTTAGGAAGTCAGGGGGGTGTGTTGTTGTCTGTAATTGCCCATATGCTTTGCCACATGCTCCTGGTTTAGCTGGCGTCGTGGAAAAGAACCTGGATTTTCTGGTCGTGACTCCACTAACCTGATGGCACGGTTCAAGTCAGATCTTACTGTCCTCAGTGCATCTTTCTCACCAGACTTGAAGGCTAAGTTCCATGCTTTTAGAATTTGTCATCCAGGCTCATTGGCCTGAGTGATGATTTCATGGCTAGATATTTTTTGCATTATTTGTAGTAACATGGATTTTGCTGCTGTACCTCTGCAACTTCCATTATGTCAGTGATTCTGGGTGCTTCAGAGAGATGCACTAGTATGGCTCTAATACAAGTGATGTGTCTATTAAACTATATTGTAGTAGAAAGACCTCGATAACCACCAATCCAAAGTACGGTAAGAGTAACATGGACTGTGGAACACAGGGACCACATTTCATCATTCTGCTTCATTCTATCTCTGTTCTCATTCTGCAGTATGTCTTAGTACAACCTCTAACTTTATACTCTTATTTTCTCATCATAGTAGCTTCAGCTGGTTTGTTCCTGTTTGGCTGTGACACCATCCTGGATTGAAATATCAGCTGTGCCACTGCCATCAACATCCCTGTTTATAGATGTTGGAGCCTGACATGTTTTCGGTGTGGTCCTCTTTCTCTTACTGTGACTAACTATAGGTGCTCTCTTTAATTCTCTGAAATGGGAGCTGGCTCACAGCTCCTCCACCTGGCTGCATCTTTCCTGTGGAGCTAGCTAAAAGCTTTTGTATCTCTGCTTATTTTTGTATATCTGCTTCTATCTCCTGGAACCCCAGTCAGCCTTTCCCCCAGTTGGCCTAAATCTGCTGCAGGTTTCTCCCTGTTAAAAGGGAGTTTTCCTCTCCTCTGTCGCTACAAGCATGCTTAATTTAAGGGATGGCAGAGATTCAATGAGTCGATGCAATCAGCTGGTTTTCCTTAGTAAACTTTGAACCAATTTGACTGTATGATCTGGTTGAATTGTCTCTACAAAGGGCCTTAAGATGACGTGTGTTGTGAATTTGCGCTATATAAATAAACTCAATTGAAATTGAATTGCAGGCACGTAGGTTCCCTGATGATACATCATGGCCTCGGAGGTTTGTGATGCTTTCCATGGCCCACTGCACCAGTGGGCCATGCAAAGCATTATGTACTGGCACTATTTGGAACTGACATGTTTAACTGCTTGCGTCACCAGAGTTGAACTGTAGGTTATACAGTGTTAAGTTTCACAGATTCATGAGGAATCTCCACTTTTCTGATCTAAATACACCGATCTAAATCCTTTCCAATCACCGGACAGTAAAATGTGCACATAGTGAGCAAAAGTTCTAGGTGGTGGAGGACACAGATAGGATGACACTCTGTATTAGATTTAAGGTAATGTTTTAACATTTAGTGTTCCTTTTGCAAAGTTATGTCAAGCTCATCAAGACTAATCACAAGTTTCTCAGACCATTTATTGTTTGTTAAGTGCTATGATATGCAGTGTGTATGGAAACTATTCATACCCCTTTAAATTTTTCACTTTTTGTTTCATTGCAGCCATTTGCTAAAATCAAAAAAGTTAATTTACTTTCTCATTAATGTACACTAAGCAGCCCATCTTGACAGAAAAAAAACTTAATTTTATAAATCTTAGCAATTTTTTTCAAAGAAGAAAATCTGAAATATCAAATGGTCATAAGTATTCAGAGCCTTTGCTCAGTATTGAGTAGAAGCACCCTTTTGAGATAGTACAGTCTTCTTGGGAATGATGAAACAAGTTTACACTCAGCCCCTGTCAAGACGAGGTGCTGAGTGTACATTAATGAAAATAAAATGAACTTTATTGATTTTAGCAACTGGCTGCAATGAAACAAAAAGTGAAAAATTTAAAGTCGTCTGAATACTATCTGGGGGCTGCTTAGTGGCACAGTGGGTAGCACTGCTGCCTTGCAGCAAGAAGGTTCTGGTTTCTATTCCCGGCCCAGGGTCTTTCTGCATGGAGTTTGCATGTTCTCCCTGAGCATGCATGGGTTCTCTCCGGATACTCCGGCTTCCTCCCACAGTCCAAAAACATGTCTGTTAGGTTAATTGGCTTCTCTAGGTTGTCCTTAGGTGTGAGTGTGTGCGTGAATGGTTGTTTGTCCTGTTTGCCTCTCGCCCATTGACTGCTGGAGATAGGCACCAGCACCCCTTGCGACCCCACTCGGGACAAGCGTGGCAGATAATGGATGGATGGATGAATACTTTCTGTACCCACTGTAATATGTTATCCAAACAAGTATGATATAAGCTGTACACACTAGCTGTTTCAGAACATCATGAAGAGGAATTTAATTTATGCTGCGAAGCCAGAATTAGATTTTTGTATGATGCTCTGCCCTCTCAAACACCCAGTCAATTGTTTCACTGGGCTAGGTTAAGCTAGAGGTTTCTTGCTACTGAAAAGATTTAATAAAAAAAAAAAAAGGGGGGGGGGGGTTATTTTCCATTGTTGCTTTATACATGCTCACTATGAGCAAGTAAGGCAACAAAGTTAACACTTAGTGCAACCATCAGTATTACCGTTAAAAACAAGAGGCTCCTCTAGTCTCATCAATGCAATGTCATAGTCCAGTCCTTTGGGTTGGTACTGAGCATGATACACAATTCTCTTTACAGTCAAAGAATGGGCCCCATGGATCAGCTGCTCTGTCAGCCCCACATGAACCGTCCACAGCGAGGAGTCCTCAAATCTGACACCAGACAACAAGAAAAGACATTAAATATTTGTTTTCTTTTTTTTTTCAATTTGTATTTTTAATAAACCTTTCTGTATTGTTTGCTTGTTAACTCTTGCCTGTTTATCTGATTATTTAATGTTTGTTCAAATGCTTCAAATGCCACCTTGCAATGAAAAAGAGACTAATCTTGAAAAAAGTTTAGCTTCATCTTCAGACAATACCTGGAGGAATGGGCACAGTTATCTTTGCTTTGATTTAAAACACAGCTGGTTTAAAACCTGTTATTAAACAATGAAAACTGAATCAATTAGCAATTGATAAAAGCATTTTGAAGAAAAATTAAAAAAGCCCTGACAAAATAACAACATTAGACATGCATGCCAGTATTTAATTATATGCTTTATATACAAGCCTGCATAATAGGTGATATTTTGCAAGCACAAAGAATGACTTCTTTTAATAAAGTCCAACAGAACTTTCATTTAAAATAGCTAGCATCCTCTCTCTTAGGATAATTATTTAAAATGTATGGAACAAACTATTCCTTTAGTATAAATATAATGTATACACAGGGTGAAATACGTATTGAACACTCAACAATTTTTCTCAGTAAATATATTTCTAGAGGTGCTATTGACATGACATTTCCACCAGATTTCGTAACAATCCATGCAATGCACACATACAAAAAAAATCAGAGCATAGATGTCCAGCAATTGAGTTTCTAAAATAGTTTGTATGATTTTGAAATACCCATACCTGTAATTTGGGCTTTACTACCCAATATTTTGACCAAGCTCATGACTGGTCCAGATCTCATATATTTAGGCATGTTTAGGTATTGAGCTGCAGTACTCTTAGCTCCCTGGCAAACAATGTCAAGTTACTATGGACTAGTTTTATTTGAGGATATGGCTCTTCAAGGGCTTTTTGGTTTGTGTTTTTTTTCCTCTTTTGTTCTTTAGAACCACAGCAGTTCAGATTAGTCAAGATCCTCTCAGAATCTAATTCTAGGCATGCATTCACAAAGATTCACAGGGTACTTTCTACTTTATATCTATGTATTTATGCTGTATAAAGGTGTTGTATTAGGATAAATGACTAGAAACAAAAGAAAAAAAAGCAGAGAAAACAGAAAGCCTAGCTTAGAGAGGACTGTTCAAAGTGGTTAAATAAAGGAGTGTTGAAGGGAATTAGAGATCAACCGATACATCAGCTTCTTCTTTTGGCCAGTATTAGCATTCTCTCTTATATCAGTATCAGCTAACACATGCATGCATTCGCTGATTCATTAGTGCAATTAGCAGGTGTTGTTGGGATCTGGAGATCTGCCTCCTGTCTCCAGCAGAGAGCGCTGTGGGTCTCCTGGGCTGGAGCCCTCAGCACACCTGAGGATCATCAGCCCATCAGGAGACCTCCTACATAAGCAGCAGTCAGACCTTCCTTCAACGCCGCAGTGTTGACCAAGTTTGGTAGGCGAACCTGAGCTTCTGTTAATTTTAGAGAATCTTAGTTGGCTCTAGAGAGAAACTAGATTCTAACCTGCCTCTGTCTTCTTTGCTCAGAGAAAACCCGACTGAAGTCTGAAGCTCTGGATGAGCTTTGCCTGGAAACCTGCCTGCCTGCCCAAGGGAGCCAAACCTGAAGATATCAGTCTGGATTCCTCCAACAGCTCTCAAGGAAGAGCTAGGAAACCAAGTCAAGGTCAGAAACTCACAAGTCAGAAGCTAGACGCTGCTGCTGCTGAGCTCCCTGCTGAATCTACAGTCTCTGGACCCAACCGGTTCCCCCCTCTCAAAGGATCTGTCAGAACCTCTTCACGATATCAGTGATGGTCAGAAACTCACAAGTCAGAAGCTAGATGCTGCTGCTGCTGAGCTCCCTGCTGAATAACACACTCGACAAGCAATCTAAACTGCCTGGCTAATCAAACTATCCATCTCTGCAGATATCAGTGATTCCAGTCCCGGATCTGTACCAGAACCAGTTCATTATTATTCTGTGTTTCTCAATAAACTCTGTTAAACTTTTACTCAGCTTCCTCTGGTGTTCTGCATTTGGGTTAAGTCTCTTAAGCCAATCATGACAGGTGTGCTTTTTGTACAAGGTATGCACTGCTGCTACCACGTTTTGCTATCCATTGTTAATGTTTTCTTGGATATGTTACTAGGGCTTGTGTAAAACATTTTTTATTATTAGATTTTTTCCCCCTGTAAAATGGGAAGAGAAAGCTTCAAGAACTGGCCTAACAAAATATCTGCCAGTGAGGAGATGGACGCTCACAAACTAACCTCTAGATTACAGTTTAGGCTATGGATACTGGCATTATCATGTACGATACAGAAATACCTTACTTTTTTTTTTTACATCTTCCATCTATGTATTGCACATACCCTAGATATTTTATAAAGACAATCTTGTGCAACTCTTTTCCAATTCAACAGTCCATTGACTATGTCTAAATTACACTGCCCTACTTTTTTTGTACATTTGACATTTTTTATTCATGGTTAATTCATAGTTTTCTACAAATTATTTATCCTCAATAAAACTAAGTTACTACAAGAGGGGTTTTACCTATACAACTGGTAAAATTTCCCTTATTGGGAGGCTAAAATTAGTCTTATGTCAAATTTAGTAGCTATATGATTTTGAAAATTATTTATGTTCTTGTTTAACATTTTTGTGACTTACCCATACACACAGTGGGCTGCAGTAAGGATCCACCTCGATGCTATGATGGAGCCTCCACATAGGTGCTCACTCCTGAAGTGGAGGCTGGCCTGCCAGGGAAACTGACCTGGTTTGGAGGTATTACCCCCAACAATACGCGTGTTGTACTTAGGCGTAGAACCACACGCTGAGAACAGATATAGAATCTTATTGTGAGTCAGAAAGTTCAGATACAACACAAAAAGTCTTTCCTCATGACACTTTACAAAAAAAGTTCAAACAAACCACTGGACTTTCTTTCCAAGTTTAAAAACGTTACGGTTCCCATCCAGGAAGCTTTCTCAAAATGTCTGGAGTAGCATGAAGCTCCAGGCTTTATAGAGTAGCCCAACTAAAGCCTTGTTATGGCTTAGAAAACATACACATTTAACCAAAACAGGTCCACCTCTTGCAATGAGTAGTCATTAAAGTCATTGTTGGCCTGCAAATCAAACCAAAACTTTCCCAGGCCTCTGTAATACGGAGTTGTTAGGGTCGTTATTGGCCTTGCTCGCAGTCGCAATGTTTTGACCACGTGCATGGTGATGAGGATTGGGGTGATAGTGGGAAGGAATCAACTCTAAAGCTGCGTTGCAGGTTTTTGAGAGCTGACACCTGAGTCCTAACCCTCTGTTTAAGGTTGCTTTTTCTTTCTTAACATAAATGGCTTTCTTCACAACCCCTTCAAAGCACCTGTCTTCTTTTTCTAAAATGTTAACATTCTGGTCCTCAAACGCGTGTTCTTTGTCCTTAAGATGAAGTTGGACAGCAGAGTCTTGTCTGGAGGAGGTAGCTCTCCTGTGTTGAGCCATACATCGGTGGAAAGGTTGTTTGGGTTCTCCAATATAAAGATCAGACCATTCTTCCCTGCAATGAACTGCATACACCTCTCCGCTAAGCTTAGGTTTCTGGGTTTTAACCTGAGAATCCACCAGCTAAGGGTCTAAGGGTCTTGTTTGGTTGGAAATGTACTAGGAGTTTGAAAAGGGGTATAAAAGAAGCCATTCACATACAGAGAAAAAACAACCTTAAACAGAGGGGGAACACTCGAAAACCTATAAACCTAATGACTCCCCATCATAGAGGCGTGGGCCTGTTTCGGTTTAATTTTTAAAATGACTGCGAAGGCCAAGAAGGGCAAGTTAACAGGTTAAAAACTGAAGGCTAGTTGGCAAGACTTTGAGATCTAAAAGGAAGACATTATGGAAAATTACCAAGGCCTCAGGTCTAGAAACAAAGGAATAAAAGTTTTAGATCTTGGGCTGGGTGTAGGACTACAGAGCCATGTGCACCAGTTTTTTTGCAGTGTGGTGTTAGGGGTCTTGCTCAGGGGGACCAAGCGGGAGTCTGTGGGTATGGGGGATCAAACTCACAACCTCAGGATTTAAAGCCCTATGCCCTAACCACTAGGCCGCCACTCTCTTAGTTTGTAAATGGACAACTTCAACTCACTGCCCCTTCTGCACTGAGTAACTCTCAAGTTTTCAAATCGTACCCAAAATACGGTAAAAACTTTATCGTTAAACCTTTAAACAAGACTATAAAATCTTAAAAATAAATCACGATAGATTAAAACATCTATTGCTGCCAATACTCTGACATCTAAAACTGAGTCTGTGCCTCTCCATTTATTTTAAATAATTTCCTAAATTTTTGTTCATTCTTTCTTTAAAAATCCAGAAGATTTAATTTATTTGTTGTGGATATGTATCTCAGTCTGTATTTTTAAGTCTGACCTTCTGTGAATAAGCAAAAAAATCATAATAAATGTAAACTTGTGCACACAATTCTGGTTTTCATAAAATCCTAAAGCTGTACAAAAACATGACTAAAAGCGTAAATTAAATGTAAAATAAAAAAAAAAAAAAAAAATGTATATTGTTTAACATTGTATAACATTTTCCTCTTAAAGTTGTTAACACATGGTGTCAGGAACTAAATCAATCCAGTTTTAATTGGTTCTCTCACCTATACATTTCAGGGTGATCACCGTCCCTGAGGAGCATTGCTGCTTTCTGCTAGGACAAAGATGTGGTAAAATTATATTCAAGCATGTGATGACAAGTGCAGATATAGGGTCATCTTCACTGCTTTGAAAACTTTTCAGGTCACAAAGAATTGTAAGGGATTATCCTACAGTTGCTTACGTAAAGGTTGTAGCGTTCTGGAGTTTAATGACCTCTGTCTGGCTATAGTTAAAGGAAATCAGGTTCGACTGAAGGTCCTGCTCAATGGAGGTCACTGGGAGAAAAGAGGACTCTATATGACTGGAGAAAGAAAAAAAAAAGAAAAAAAGAAAATGCATTTGCATTCAAGGATATTTAACATCCTTTTTTCATGTAAGGTGAGTTTGCTTCCTAAGGTTTTTGGGTGGTAATAAACCTTAATATAAAATCTAAATAGACATTAACTGTATTTAGCCTGTAAGAATAATTCTCATATTCATAATGCATAATGCTTAAAACAATATCTGAATTACAGATATTGTTATATGATGATTGAATTTAAAATACCTTGATACACTTTTTTTAATTGGTGTAACAAACTTTTTTTTTTATTAATCCACCCAATCCAGTTGGTTCACCCAGGTGTGGGATTTCTAAATCTAATGACATTTTTATTTTGGATAAAATTTGTCAAACAAAGAACCATCACATAACATAGTACTCCCAGTATGCAACAAATTAATGTTATCTTTATTTACTTCTGGTGTGAAGGACGAGGAACACATCTCAAAAGTACTTTAACAATTGAAGTGTCGGAAGGAAGGAAGGAAGGAAGGAAGGAAGGAAGGAAGGAAGGAAGGAAGGAAGGAAGGAAGGAAGGAAGGAAGGAAGGAAGGAAGGAAGGAAGGAAGGAAGGAAGGAAGGAAGGAAGGAAGTAAGTAAGTAAGTAAGTAAGTAAGTAAGTAAGTAAGTAAGTAAGTAAGTAAGTAAGTAAGTAAGTAAGTAAGTAAGTAAGTAAGTAAGTAAGTAAGTAAGTAAGTAAGTAAGTAAGTAAGTAAGTAAGTAAGTAAGTAAGTAAGTAAGTAAGTAAGTAAGTATATGCTAAAATGAAAACCTGGAGTATCCCAGTTGCTTGCAGGCAGAGATCCCTAACTGGATGTTCCATTCCTCAGAGCAGACTGTCCACCATTCTCCTCTTTTCTGAACCTGCAAAACTGATCTGTCGCCACTCAGACGTGCTAATAAACAGACAGACCAAAATCAGGAAAACAAGAAAAATGTCTAGTACCATGTATGAACATTTTAACTAAAGTACAGTGGATCTAGATTATAGGTGTCTGACCTAATGCAGGAAACGGCACAAAATAGGTTAGAATAGCTTACATGATCATTTTAAAAGGGAAAATACATGTTGCTATTCAAGAATTGTGTGCTTATGGGGACACTGAGGCCCCATCCACACAAAGTCAAAACGAACACGAAACGCTAATATTTTCCAGAACGTTTGTCGTAAAGACGGAGACGTAAAATAAATGTGATCGTCCACACGAATGCATGAAGACGCTGCAAAATGTATGCCAGGCCTGTAAGTGACGCTGTCGTGCCAAAGCAAAAATAGCCGACGAAATGTTGGGCATGCGCACTAATATTTATACATGGTTGCTCTGCGGGTCCATTTTCGTGGTTCAGTCAAATTCAGGTGCTAAACTATGTTGTCGATATTGCTCTGTTCTTCCTGGAGATATTCCAGAAGAAGAAGATTCTGTTGTAAGCCCGACAGCAGGGTGAGTAGCATGAGCAGCAACCATTCAACACAGTACGGCGCCATTGTTGTTGTGATACTGTGTCGCGCATGCGTGTTTAGAGGCGACGCTATGACGCATGCGTGTAAAAAAAAAAAATGTGGTTAGAGCTTAAAGATGGAAACGCAAAAACGGCGTTTCAAAATCTTCCCACTCTGAAGGCTGAAGAAAAAAAAGATTGTTTACAGACCCCCGAAACGCCGGCTCGTATGGAAAAATTTGTGCGTTTAGGCCAGGGTTCGGCTTCGTGTGGACGGGGCCTGAGACTGCCAGACAAACATAACAGCAATAAAAAATGAATGCAATGTATAGACCTTTTTAAGACAACAATTAGCACTGTTATCTGTTCACAGAAATTTGTCGGGTGCTTAAAATTTAGGTGCATAAGGTATAGAATCCAGCAATGTTGTGAGACACATCATAGCAAGAAATAAAACAGTATGCATAGACAACTAATAATACAAAAGATTAATAAAACGATTTTTACACAAAGCTTAGAGTTTGGTAACGCAGCTTTAAGGATTAAAAAAAAAAGAATATTTAACACCTGTGCAATTTTCCGTCATCCTGAAAATGGCAATCACAAACAGGCTTAAATTATAGGTTACCAGACTTTCATTTTTGCAAACCTATCCAGGAGTTTCTCAGTTCTGGTAACTTGCATTAGAAAAACTCCTGCTGTTTTAAAGCACATGGAGGACCATCATCTTATAGCCTTATTCCAATCACTCCTGAGTCAGTAGAGTGAATAGTTTGACTTGAGTTCTTTACCTAGCCATCTTAAACATGATGAGCCTGCTAATGTAATTACTTTAGAATGAGTTAAGAAGGAATTTAAAAGGTCCTTAAAAGCTGAAACTGCTTTTCTCCCCGTCTGCTCAGCATTTTTTTTCTCTTTTCACCCATCTTTTCTAAGATGATTAAAGATTACACTTGAAGTGGAGTCTTAGTGGACTCCCTACCATGGAACATATACGTAACACGCACTGGCTCTTTTTTGGCTGATCTCTCTTTGGGCTAAACCAGTTTTTGTCAAATAGTGTTGTTAGATTTTAAATTCATCAGAATGATCTATCTTAGGTTTCTCAGCCTAAGAGTCCTGAAGGTCTGTTCTGATCAGCTCTGTAGGATTTTACTGCCCCTTGTTAACCCCAGAAGACTCAGGTGGAGGCATCAACAATTTCTTAGATTAATGACTAATAATAATAATCAGACCTCAGTTGGTGAGAAGGGTCAACTGTCTAATCACGGTAGTAAGCAGCAAAGAGTCACTGAAGTGTACAGTACTCTCTTACTATTACTATTTACTCTTAACTGCTTGTATTCTAGTTAATCTTACCACAGCCAAGCTCATCTTCATGGTTTTCACAGTCGAATGTTCCATCACACCGAGCCAAGGCACTGACACACTGAGATCCACAGCGAAACTTTCCCTCACAGCTTAGACCCACTGTAGGTGAAGATAAGAAAATTGTTGCCCTGTTTACAATAAAAACAGATTAACAGTTACATTTTAATCAATATATTTACGAATATAAGGGCCACTAAAAATTGTAAGGCAATGGCCCCATACATTAACTTTCTGAAAAAAAATTGAGCAAAACAAAATATGTAAATCAATAGAACTGTCCTCACAGAAAATGAATGTAAGTTATAATAATGTACAGTAATGACAGAATTATTAAGTGACTTTTTAACCATCTAAAAGTAAACATATCATAGTCACAGAGGATGCCTATTAGCGACATCTCTGCAGTCGCTGTTTCTCATGTCATTAACTCACTGAACATTTCAAATAGATTAGTATGATTTGCACTGAACAGAAATATATTGCAATTAAATTCAAAATTACATTATTAATCACAAAGTGAAATGAAATGTTGCAGGAACTCAAAGGTTTTTTTTTTCCAGGTGTTGTAGATGTTGATACATTTAGGCAGGGAGGATCTTCTGTCATGCACTGAATCTGGAGAAGCCTTTGACTGAAGAAACTCTGTCGTTGTTTATATATCTGCTGAAGAGGATGTTCACTGTTGTCCATAGTAATCTTTACTTTATAAATTATTCCTTTCTGTGAAATTATCTCCAGAGGTTCTAGAGGAGTTCCCAGAGTTATTTTAGCTTGTTGATCTTTCTTTTTTTTGTAATTTGCTCTGATGTTGCTATGCTGTTACCCAAGCATATGATGGCAGAAGTGATCACACTCTCCATAACAGACTTATAGAGGATATTTAAATGCAGAAGGACCTAAGCTTCCTTAGGATGTCAAGGCTACCCTGTCCCTTCTTGTAGATGGCTTCGCAGTTGTTTCTCCAGCCTTGTTTTTTCCAAGTGTACAACAAGGTATTTATACTCCTCAACCACCTCCACTTCTTCTCACATGATTTAAACAAGATTTAACATGTTCCTGTTTCTTCTGAAATCTACTATCATCTCCCTTGTTTTGTTGACATTCAGGATCAGATGATTTTTTTTTTCTACACCACGACAAAGAGGGAAAAATAAATAGTTACACGCTGTTTGTATATGTACAGGTTTATTGCACAGTAATTAGCAAACAAGGTTATTTCACAGTGCTAAATACCTTTTAAACAGGGGATGTATAAGTTTGTTCCTAATGGAGCTTCTTAGGTCCTCTTCAGTCTTGTGCAGAGGGTGACAGGTGTTGTCCACGGTGAATGCGAGCTTGGCCAACACCCTCTTCTCAAAAGTCTGATAAACTGTGGTCTGTTTATCAGGTAGTATTTGATCCAGTTGATTGTTGATGCATCCACCCGAATCTTCTGGAGTTTCTCGCAAAGTAAGACAGGCTGAATTGTGTTAAATGCAGTGGTGATGTCAAAGAACATAATGCTGTCTCTGGGTTATAAAAATGAGAGTGGGTTTGTTGAAGCAGGTGAAGGATGGCATCTTCAACTCCAACTCTAAAGACATAAGCAAACTGCAGAAGGCCCTGATAGCTCCTTATTTATTTATTAAGGTGAACCACAGAAATCTCTCACCTTCATGACATGAGATGTGAGGGCAGAAGGTCATTGAGGACTTTTGGCTGAGTCTTCTTTGATTTTGGAACAAGGCAGTTCCACATCACTGGAACTGTCTTCTACATCAGACTAAGTTTGAAGAGGTGCTGTAGAATCCCACAGCGACATGATCTTGGTACTGATGACTTGCTGTATTACTAATTTAAGTCACCTAACTCCGCCCAGTTTCTCTTTACCGATCATCTGATCCACCTGCTCCTGCCTCTATTTAGCCAGCCCTTTAACCAGTCATCAAGTGCTACATTTTTCTTGAGCCCTTGGTGAGAATCTTCTAGAGAGCCATATATCTATGTCTCACGAAATGTCGCATAGCTCTGAGGTCATCGAGCCCTCGACCAGCTTCCCACTCCACTCACTTTACTGCTGCGTAGGTTCCTGGTCCTGCCCAAACACCAGATCCTGAACCGGTGCCACTGGGACACACACGCTTGTCCAAGGATGAGAAGAACAAATGTCATTGGCTGAATCTGTGCCTCTACTGTCGGGGAGAGGGACACCGGGTGAGATCCTGTCTGGTAAAGAGTAGAACTCTGTTGAGCAGTACCTGACTCTCAGCTTCCCCAGATCTCCAGCTTCCAAGTTCCCAGTTTGTTAATTTCAGGACTCACAACCCTTTTGCATCCATGGACTCTTTAATGGTGCATAGTGAAGACCTATTTCCCTTCCTGCCACCTCCTTCTGTTTCCTGTCAGCCAGCGCCAAAGGTGGTGACCTGAGAAACTCATGCTTTGTCTTGGTGTCAAGGCGGACCACCCTAATGACTTTTTCCTTGAATTAGTGTTATTTTGTCTTATGACTTTATCCCTATGTCCAGACCCCTCCTACCACCTAGTTTGCTTTGATGTTTGGACTTCTGCCTTCTTCTCTGACCTCCACCTGCCTATACTTGAACCCTTGATGGGAGTCTTCTGGCAAGTATAGTGTTTTCTGATTGCCTGATCCTGACCCATTCTGCCTTTGGACCTCTGAGCATGCTTGTTCCTGTTCCGATCTGTTTGCCTGACCTGTCTTTGGATTCCTGCTGGAATTTTTCCATTCACTGAACACGGAACTGCTTCCTGACACCAACCTTCGGTACCTCTTCGGATCTCTGATCTTCTGGCTGGGAAGATCTCCTTAACCTCTTCAAGACTGACTTTTGGTTTCGCCCTCTGGGTCATCTTGCCTTCCTCTATCTGCTTGGATCTGATCTCCTGCCAGTTTTGCAGTCTTCAATGCTTCAGCATCTGAAACTCTCTGAGCATTGTTCGCTGCATTGTGTGGGCAGCCGTCCAGCTGGAATCCACCTTTTTCTCTGGGCACGGACTGAACTTTGTCAGTATCCCAGTTTTTGTGTTTGTCTGTTTGTCTTGTCTTTTGTGTTTCTCCCTTCCACCGCCAGGAGGCGCCTGGCTCCGGTTCGCCTCCTCACACACCTGCAAGCTGTTGCCTCATCACCGGACTAATCTTAAGCTGCTGGTTGCCACTACTTCGACGCCAGAGTGTTTGCCAGTTTGGGGTACTCTAGCCAAGCCTTATTTATGCTGAGTCTAATCTGAGTTTTTGCATTTTGAGTTTTTGTCCTCTAGCCAAGCTGAGATCTCATTGAGTTTTACTGAGCGCTTGTTTCTCCCTGAGTCTCAACTTTGTTTGTTCTTTGCCCTTTCGGCAGGAAGCCTTCCTGCAAACCGGACCTTTTCTGACCGCCAAGTGGGATGAACTGAGTCTTACACTGAGCGACGGATTCCAAACAGGAGGTTTGGATCCAGCCACCTTTGAGCACGCTGAGATAACTCGGAATAAGGAAGTCCTCTTCACCACGACCCATTCAAGTACCACAGGAAAACTGAGTTGCAACCAGCGGCTGCATCATTCCCCTCCGTCCGAGTTCTGGGTAAACCCTGTTCCGTCCTCCACCGAATCAAACTAATTCTGGAAGACCAACACACAGACTGAAGTCTAAGTGTCTCTTCTTCTCTGGAATCGTGAATGGCAACAAATCCTCTCCTTCAAGATTAACAACTCCAATTCCCCACTGATCCTGAATCTAACAGTCTGTCTTCCCCTTGTCTTCCAGTTTCCAGCCGAGCAGAGTTCGGAGGAACTCTGCACCAAACTCAAAACACTCTTTAATAAAACCCGTTCAAACTTTTACTCTGTGTCTCTCTGTTTGGCTTCACTGCATGTGGGTCCGAGCTTTAGATAAAATCATGACAAACTTTAAGACCAGGTTAGTGACTCACACATTCTTTTCCAGATTAATGTGGTAGAGGTGGATTTCAACAGCATTGCTGCCAAATGTTCACTACAGATCTGTCGTTATCCGTCGTTAAATAAATATCTTTTGAAATATCTTGCTGTCTGTCTGCCTTGAATACTGGGTCCTCCGTTCTGAGCCTTGACACATAGAATTGCTCTGCGCAGGCCTTCACGACTCTGGGGCTGACACCATAAGGACCTGGTGGATTATTATGATTCAGTGTCTCCAGTTTACTCCTCACTTGACCTCTATGGAGGGAGCAATACCATCTTCTGATGTCAATGGCACAAAGGGGCAAAATGTCCATGTGACTATAGGCAAGAGACAGGAAAGCTGAGCTTGCGCCTAGGCTGGACCTATAGAAGAATGTATTCAGTTCATGGGCTCTTACAAGACTTCCATCTGTCTGTAGCATTTAGCAACTTACCTCGATATGTTTTTTTAGATTTGTGACTGAGTTTTGGAAAGCTAGACGCTTGTGTTTTTAGGGGAGACAAAGATGGTACCGGCATCTCCGGGAGTAATTTTATGAGACAATTAAAGTGAAAAATTATTTTAAATAAAGCCAAAGTTGGACAATTCTTTTGGCGGACTCTCCGTGCTGGAATCCATTTTAGATGCGTTTTGTTCTGAAATGAGGCTCAGTAAGGATAATCTCACCCTTTTTGCGGAAGGCGGGTCCAACGTTACTGCTTGCTTCGCAGTTGTTCAGTGGACCAATCCCCATCTACCAGTTGATTACTTTCAAACTCTCAAACAAAACTAAACAAATAAATGAAAATATGATGTGAATTTAATGTGTAATAAAAATAATTAGTGTGTGTGGGGGAGTTAAATGCACAAGTACTTGATGTAAATGGTACTGGAGTAAAAGTAGAAGAAGAAATATATCACATTGCCCATGATGATTGATGGAAAGAGAGCTTAAATTTTTTGTTCCTCTCTCATCTCCTTGCTCTCTCACTCTGTATCCCCGGCGCCTTCTTTTCAACTCAACTGTTGCTTAGACTTACACAGATTGTATTTGTCATTTTGTTTGCACAAGTGTAAAACAAAAAGAAATTTCGTTTGGAACAGCTCTCTGAACAATTTCTTCTTTTTTAAAAGTGAAGCCTTGAAAAATGGTTAAAATAAATATATAAATAAAAACAGTAATATAAACATATGACTATATTTACAGTTCTAACATTTTTTTTTTACTTGTGAAAGTAGTTGATGTATTATTCCAGCTTTATAGATATTAGTCAACTTGCTATTGTTGCGGTGGTTACGCATCATAACAAGTATCCAACAAGGAAAAAATTTCAGTAAAATCCTTCCAGTGTTACAGAATTGAACACCACCATCAGAACAAACAAACTCAGATCCACAAGCAAAGGAACTAATGTTCTCGTAAAAAAGAATATGACCCAAATTATTAATTAAATAATAAAAATTCTTGCACGCCCTGAGAACTTTAGATTCTGTTTGCTTTGCTCAAAATGCACGTTGACCTACCTACATTAATTTTTTTATACTTTGGACCTTGTGCTGACCAATGAGAAATAATAAGAATAACAGTAGTTTCTCATTTCTATGTCTTGTCTTTAGGATATCAATGGCTAAAACAAACTCATTATGTGTCTCATTTAACCAAGTTATTCACCCCTTAAAGAAAAATGCATCCTATTAATTTAAGGTATTGCTATTATAACTTTTAAATAATCTGAACACACCTGATGTGTGCTAAAATATTTCATATTGATTGATCTATCACTGGATTAAAATAAAAAAACCAACCTTTTGTTTACCAACTATATGTCAGTATTTTGTGGCTGGGAGTCATTGTCATATGCACAGAGATAACAAAAGCTGCACTCCTCACCTCCAAGGCCAATGCTGAGGGCAAGAAACACCATCAAGATGACACCTGAAGCAATGAGCAGCTCAAGTTTATGGGTAACCATTCTGTTCATCCATCCCTTATTCAAGTCATTGTCTGTTAAAACATAAAGAACAACTGCATTTAAAAAATGTTGCACTAAGACAGCTGAAGACCTGCATTTTCCCATGAAAATATAATTTAACATACCTAAAGCCAGACATTCAAACAAGGGGTGTAATGTGACAAAACCCACAAGATGAGGAGATATCAACATAAATTCAATGAGAAAATTAGACTACTTTCAATAAAAAAGGCCAGTATATAATATCTTTATTCTGCATGTTTAATGATTTTGCAAGACATATTTCTTTGATTAAATTAACCTTTTCAGACTTTAGGATTGTCGGGACAGATCAGATTAAGAGTGTTCATTATTTCTGAGGCTGTGTCCTCCAAGGACACTGTCTGTCTGGATTGTATCCTTTGAGGTCCGGGAAAATAGGGTGGCCGGTAGAATTTTGGCTATGGATTCAAATAGGTCAATAAAGCTCATGTAATCTAATCTAATCTAATTGGCAAACGCTAGCCTAGTAAACTAGCCCCACCCGCCAGCGGCCAAAATCATTTTTGCCTGCGAGTTTGGTCTAGCCTCGATCAATGCCCCAGGTCCTAAATCTGGCGGGCCAATCACAACGCAGAGATGTGTTTTGAATGTCTGGATGCAAAGCAGAAGGGGTTTTGAGGGCGTGACGACAAAGCTTTCTCCAGGTCTTTGTTGTCTCTGATGAGGCCCACCACCGTGGTGTCGTCTGCAAACTTCACGATCTGATTGGTGGTGAACCTGGGGACGCAGTCATGTGTCATCAGGGTTAACAGCACGGGGCTAAGAACGCAGCCCTGAGGGGAGCCTGTGCTTAGACTGATGATATCAGGTGTTCTGTCCAACCCGGACTGACTGAGGTCTGTTGGTGAGAAAGTCTAGCAACCAATTGAGGAGGGGTGTATTGAATCCCAGGTGTTTCAGTTTTCCATCAGATGCTGTGGGATGATGGTGTTGAAAGCTGAACTGAAGTCCAGGAACAACATCCGCACATGGATGTTCTTCTCCTACAGATGTGCAAAGCTCAGGTGGAGAGCAGCAAAGATGGCGTCCTCAGTGGAGCGGTTTCGTTGGTAGGCAAACTGAAACGGGTCTAATGTTGGCGGCAGATTGGAGATGATGTGTTCTTTAACCAGCCTTTCGAAGCACTTCATCATGATGGAGTCAGTGCAACAGGCCGGTAATCATTGAATGAGGTGACCTGAGGCTTCTTTGGGATCAGAATAATGGTGGAAGACTTGAAGCATGCTGGCACTATTGATTGGTCCAGCGAGGTGTTAAAGATGTCTGTGAGGACACCAGCCAACTGATCTGCACACTCCTTATACACCCGCCCAGGTATGTTATCAGGTCCTGGGGCCTTCCTCGGATTGACTCTTCTCAGAGTTTTCCTCACTTCAGTTACGTCCAGGTTTAGTGCCTCCTCCCCCTGGTGTGGAACAGCTTTCACTGCTGGAGTGCTGTTTAGTGCCTCAAACCTTCCAAAGAAGTTGTTCGGTTCATTTAGGAAGTCAGCATTGGCTGCATCTACCGGGAGGGAGGGAGTGTTGTAGTCCGTGATCATTCGAATGCCTTTCCACATCCTCCTGGTGTTGCTGTCATCATGGAAATGATCTTGGATCTTCTGGCTGTGGTTGTGCTTCGCTGATCTGATGGCATGGTTTAAGTTGGCACGCGCTGTTCTTAGTGCCTCCTTATCAACAGACATGAAAGCTGAGTTCCGTGCTTTTCGTGATTTCCGAACCTCTTCATTTATCCAGGGCGGTTGGTTGGCCTGGGTGGTGATGTTCTTTTTTATGCTGACGTTCTCAATTGGCGATCATAGATACGGGTTAGATGTCTAGTTTGTATCGTATTTAGCTCGTATTATGTGAACCTATCGAAATTGGCTGCTGCTTTGGAGCGTCGCCATGGCAACAATAATTACTATAATGACAATAATAACTGCAACGTGCAGCCAACTTAAGCAGTGCAATTCTAGAATGATGGATACGAATGAATGTGCTTTATTTACTCTATTTACTGAATAAAGTTCCCTTGTATTTGTATAACCTTATGACATTTTTTTTCTTTACATATAGTGTGATAAGGGTTCAGTAGTTGCCCTTACCCCTCTTTTTACTAACAGCCTCTGCTAATTTGGTTTTATCCACAACTATCTTGGTGTAGATTAAAGCTGGAGGAAAACAGAAAGGCAGGAATGTGAGAGGAAATGGATCATGTATATAGATTGCAGGACTGAAGTTCAAATGTAGAAAGAAAGATGAGAATGTAATCCACCATTATTCAAGTGCAGTGCTCCGTCAGTCCAAACCACCTGCCCCCTTAAGAAGATCAAAACATGTAGCCAATAATTAAACTTCTGTATGTATTCACAGTTAAAAATTGTACAGTATATTTATGATTCCTATTTGTCTCTTTGTTGTTAGCCCTATATCACTTTCAGCTGTTTTTCACTGATGCAGACACACAATAAGTCACATATACTAGTACAGTTAAATAATGTTACTTTTATTAATGATTGTAAAGATAGGAAATGTTTAGCACTGTACAATTTCTACTGTACAAGTTACAACTATCACTTATCTCACTTAGCAAAAATATTCCTCCCATAGCAGAAAGTTTTCTGTCTTGTGAATGTCTTATGTCCCTGAATATTATACAGCAGCATATAACATGGTTTAAGAATTTCAGTACTCTGATGTTGTGAACTCAAAACAACAGGCATAAATGTCCTGTCTGTACATATGGATGTTTGACAGTAGAAGTTAGATGTGTTCTTTGTCATCTTACTAAGAAAGTGTGCCAAGATGAAAAAAACTCCAATATGTCTTACCGTTAATAAATGGCTGAACTTTAGTGACTGGCATAGTTGGACTAGGTGCAGCTGGAGGTTGAGGATCTGTAGGTTTTGCTGGATCTTTCTCTGTGTGAAAGTCAGCTTTTAGGCTGGGATCATGACTAGCAAAAAGAGTGTCGGGGGTATCAACAGTGGAGAGATCTTCCTCCGTAACTGAAACCACCTCAATGTTAGAGCTGTTTTCACCATCAGGTGTCCTCGTCTTCAGCTCCTAAATGAAAGTCACAGAAAGAAAACAATTACTTTCCACATTCACCTTGTCAATATACAGTTAATCCAAAAAAGAAAAATTATAGCCTTTTTCAGATCAAGATTACAGTTTTTTTTTTTTTTCAGATCCCTCATGCAAAGTCAGGAAGACAAGGGGATGAAGAGCATGCATTAAAAATAAAGTTTTGTGATGTGATAACAACAGCTGATGGGCCACAATTTGTTCTCTTTTTGTTATTGGCAGAAATTCCTGTTTACAGTATATAACAACTATCAAGGCATTTACACATAAGGATTGATCTTGACTCATCAAGGGACTACAAGACAAGGTAACATTTGGGAAAAATGTACAACCAGTCATGATTCCTGGCACTAGTCCAAAATATTTGGTTGCACTACTCCACATGTACACTCTAGCATTTACAAAAAAATGTGTGAATTCTAAACAATGTACACAGAGTGGGTGGGAAAGTACTGATAGAAGAACTTAACTGTTTGTGCCTATCCTCAGCAGCCCTTTAACAATTGCAAATTACTAGTGGACCCATTTGTGGAATAGATTAACACAAGGTATCAGAATTATGAATTCTGACAGGACAGTATAAGATGTTGCTATACATATGATTGATCTTCCCTATCTATCTAATGTGATATCACAATTAAAATACCCCTTTTTGATTTGAAATCTGGTGACTGTAGGCTGTTGGAATACAGTGTCTTGATCAAGGAAAACGAATGTGAACTGTGCCATTTGCAGAGAGTTACCAGCAAAGATAATTAAATTTCCCTTCGGAGATCAATAAAGTATAATTAAACTGAATTTGTATTGTAAACATCATGGTCAGTGACAATACTCAGGCAGAAAGTTTTTTAATTATTTTTAGTTGAGACTCACAATAAAAAGTAAAAAAAAATAAATAAATTATGGCAGTGATGCTGAAGCTAATCTGCTTCAAGTTTTGGGAGTATTCTGCCTAGCCTGGTTGTATCATGTTATCTGAGGTGTGGTTCTGTTATATCATCTACAATTACCCTGCTAGTTCTCATCCAAATTGATTAAATATTTTCTAAGGAAAACCAATTGATTGCATCGACTTATTTACTCAAATGCAATCCTTCACACTAAGCATACTTGTAGTGACAGTGGAGAGGAAAAACTCCCTTTTAACAGGAAGAAACTTCCAGTAGAACCAGGCTCAGTGTGAGCGGCCATCTGCCAGGCTGACTGGGGTTCAAGGAGACAGAAGCGGAGACACAAAAATGAGCTGTAAACACGTCAACTTCTTCTGATGCATATTTACCTATTACTGACTATTCTGTCTACACATAAGAGACTTTAATCATTGCTTTGAAATTAATTAAATTGTATTTACAATTTCTCGTTCCTAATATTATTGAATTGCACCATGTGATGGGTTTATAAATTTTTTCATGCTTATTAGGTTTCCCTAATAAATTGGCCAGTTTGTCAATTAAAAAGCCCCCTTATAAAGTGCAATACAGTAATCCATTTTGTGAAACTATTGTGAAGCCTTACTCATCCTCATCATCATTTTGTTCTAACTTTTTCATGTTCATTCTTCTAGGATAGAATTCTTAATTAGTGCAATGTTTTAACAAGCATTTCCCTTACTGTTTTAAGAGTTGATGGATTATCGTCATTGACAGCAATATCTGTGAATAGAACACATAGGTCAGTGAGTCAATGAAAGGGTAAAAGTGGATAGAAAATTAGATCTGAGAAAACATTATCTAGATAAAAAAAAAACGTGATTGGCAATTGGCGTGATTATGTGCAATTGAAGCTTAAAAACGTAACATACCTGTTGTTGCATTGCTCATTATGCCATTGTCCAAGTGTAACTTCTTATCTTCTGATAATATTTAAGTCCAACCACAATTTCCTTTCGAAGTTTAATCTCCTCCTGGTTTTGTTTTTTTATTTCCCCGGCTCTCAGTCTTGTTATACCCTCCTGCAATGTCTCATTAACAAAGAGACACCTGAGAGGCACAGTTCTCAGTGTGCATATCAGGTTGCAGAACCAGTCCCTTTGGTTGGATAGCATTACACATTGTCATGTTCTAGGGATCTAGGGAGGGAACTTATTGGCAACAACTCAAATGTCCTGCTAGTTTTTGCAAGTTCAGCTGCAGTTGTAATGCTGCAGGTAATATATATGTTCTCATATCGAATTAGCTTGTTTGCTCATCCAGACTAGGTCTCTTTGGAAGTGGACTGAAACCACAATAAAAAGTGGGTTTCAGGCCTGTTTTTTATCTACACTTGCACTAAAGGTCCAAACTAAGTGGTAAACGAACTCTCGTTAATGTCAAGCAGACCAAATGTGTTGATGATAATCTGGGAATAAACACCAGTTTTTTCTCAAAAAGATCAGTTAGCATCCTAATTCTCTTTCTGCTGCTTTAAATGGTCATCAACACTGGTGCCATGATTTGAAGTAAAACTTTAGTTAAATAACTTCTGCTCACAACAATTATTTAAGCCGAACTATGTATTCATCTGTCCATCCATCTTCTCCCACTTAGTCCCGTCAGGGTCGTGCTCTTGCCGGTGCCAATCTCCAGCAGTCTATGAGCGAGAGGCGGAGTAAACCCTGGACAGGTCGCCATTCTGTCTCAGGGCAACACAGAGACTCACAAAGGCTCATTACCATGCACACACCTAAGGACAATTTAGAGAATCCATTTCACATGCAGAAAAACAGAGGTGGTGATTTTTGGTTGTTCCAGTGAAGACTTCCTGATGGATATCAGATCTTTAGCCTAGTATGTCAGGCCTATTATTACCAATTTTATGGTTAAAATGTAAGCTAGTCTGAAGTTTGAATCTCACATTAGAGCTGTAAAATCCAGCTTCTTCCACTTGAGGCAGCTACCAAAGGTTAAACCTATCCTTACATGTCAGCATTTTAAAACAGCGGTACATGCCTTTCTAACCACTCAGCTGGATTACTGTATTGGACTTTATAAGGGTATCAGTATGTCATTACCCAGCTTCAGAGGGTACAGAATGCTGCTACACATCTTTTAACAGGTCCCACCAAATTTGATTATATTTCCCCTATTTTAGCCTCATTACATTGGCTGCCAGTACACTTCAGGATTCTTTTAAAAATACTATTTTTTTTTGTTTTAAAGCTCTTAATTTTCTTGCCCCACCCTACCTGTCTGAGCTGTTTAATCCCTACACACCTTCTTGCTCCCTTAGATCAGCTGACTAGTTGTTACTCTGGGTGCCAAAGGCAAAACAAAAGCTGAGAGGGGAACATGCTTTTTCTTTCGCAGCCCCTCGGTAGTGAAATGAGCTTCCCTTGGCCGTTAGACCAATTTGCGTAGGGCTGCGTATAGCAGCATCTGTGGCAACAATGTAGCTTACCACCATCAGAGTGAGAGTCAATGGGTGAATGACTGAATGCAGTATGATAAAGTTTATCATACTTTATCATACAGTAAAATAAAGAAGAGTTTTGATCAAGTCTCCTGTGCTATATATGTACAGGCCATTTGCCATTCAAATCCGTGTAAGGGCAAAACTTACTTGCTTTTTTAGAATATGCTATCACTCAATAGGCCCTTGAGATTAGTGCTCTTTGTCCTGCCCCTCTGTCTTGACTCCTAATTAGTATTAGTGTATTATTACTACTACTATTATCGTCCACTAAGGATATGCTGACATAAATTAGCACCAGCTCCTGTTCATGGTGTGCAAAAAACCATGCATAAAATGGGAAACACAGCTGATTGTCCAAAAAGCCAACCCAGACATTGTAGAACTATTCACCCTAACAAATTAAGAAAAGCTGCAAACTAGTTCTACATAACCTAAGTGCTACACACTGAGGATGTCAGCTAATTGAAAGTAAATCTTAGGTTTAATCTATGAACGTTCATGTCTTTCAGAAAAATAAACCTCTCCTTTTTAAACAATGAAAACTTGATCTAAAAATATAAATACAGGGATATTTATTAACACTACAATGTAATGCAATTAATACAAAAATGTATACATGTCTCATGAATTAGTACCAAGTATTCAGCATAAAAGAACGACATCTTATTTACCATTTAGTATATAAAAAAACATCTCTACCTTTTGGACAAACAGACAAGACTCGTTTAATAAATAAATAAATAAGTAAAAACAACATAAGGAGCGTCAACTAATCAGAAAAGTTGATCCAGGAGTTTTTTTGGGGAGACAGACCCTACATCCAAGCTGTTATCATTCTGCAAAGCTGGCTGCACATGAAAAATAAATCAATCAACAGGGTTTAAACTCCAAAGGATAAAAAAATAAATGTCAAAGCCTGTTAATGAAAATATTCTATGGTAAATTCTAGTACATGCACTTTTTTTTAACCAGAAACCTTAAAAACTCTTTATATTCACTTCCAGCTGATATGGACAACAGCGTGAAATCCCCCTACAGAGAAATCCCAGTTGGGATTCCCAGCACTGCCAGCCACCAGTATGCTGGAGGTCTGTCACTCTGAACAAGAACTGCATATTTTAGCAGGATCAAAATTCTGATGAATTGACTGCACAGATAATGTTTTGATGTTTCTTAAAAACATGTTCAAACTATTTTTCCAACTCATCAAAGTAACTAAACCCAAGCTGCTCTCAAGCTTGTAGCTACAGAATAGAGCAGATAAGCAAAGATTATCAAAACATCTTGACCACCGTTAGACCAGGTGTCCACATTTTGGCATTTAACCATTTTTGATGCTCAGATCACGTTTGATGTCAACACATCATTACAGTTCAAACAATAAACTATAGATTTTCATGCAGAGTACAGGTTCAGCCTTATTGAGAGGGTCTCATCCTTAAAACAAACAAAAAAAACAGTTTATCCTGAATTACAAGACATTACCTTCATATTTGCTTTTTTGTTTCCTTTCTGTTACAAAGGTTGATACTCACATTACTGAGGATTCATCATAGTGGACTTTACATAGGGAAGTCCTGAAGAAACCTAATTGTACCTGTAGCACAATGTTGCTTTATGTCCTGCTTTTGATATATATATATTTTTCCACAACTTAAAGATTGATTTTAATGACAACTATCCATTTGGTTATGAGTAGCTACAAGAGATTTGGAAATGTGATGCACTAGCATCATATAATCCTGGGTAAGAAATGAGCACATGACTGATTGCGGCCCACACTGTTGCCCCTCCTGAGCTGTCCTCTGTGGGAAATAGCCAAGTAGTTGCCTGGGGTAGACAAAGAGGAGTAGGTTGTGTAATGATTCTCTTCTAAGCTTTCCTTGAACAGACAGTTGTCTGTAAACTTCTCCTAGACAACAACAAAAAGACAAAAAAAATATGTGATTTGGATTAATTTATGTTAATTTTAATTAGAGTTTCTGTTTTACTGTTAATGGTGTGGTAGGCTACATACCGCTCCATATGCCAGCCCATGCTCAGTCATACACAGGTACAACCCACTCTTCACCCCTCTGATTCCAACCACTCCAGGCCTCATAGCAAACAGCTTTAACCAACCTTGAAGAAATGCAGGGATATTTATTTATTATATTTATTTGTTTGTCCCCACTGCCCAGACTTTCATTCAATAATTTAAACTATTTATGACAAAAAATATAGCAAGGCATGTGTGTGTGCACACAGCACAGTTTGCAACAGATTAAATTCAGTTTATTTATATAGCCCCAATTCACAACACGTCATCTCAAGGCACTTTACAGTTCACCGGATCATACAGTCAAATTCATTCAAAGATTTCTATCTAAGGAAAACCAGTTGATTGCATCGACTCTTTGACTTGAATGCATTCCCTCACACTAAGCATGCTTTTAGCGACAGTGGAGAGGAAAAACTCCCTTTCAACAAAAAGAAACCTCCAGCAGAACCAGGCTCAGTGTGAGCGGTCATCTGCCGTGGCCAGATAATGGTTGAGACACAGTACATAGTGTAAATAAGGAGTAAGAGCAGAAGAATATTTGGTAAAACAGCCACCACATAACTGAGTAATTGATTAGAACATCAGACTGAATAATTAAAATTGAGCAAATCATATAGACAAAAAATATAAGATTATGTCATAAGTCTATATCATAAGGACTGGAACTTGGATAAAATTATAAATCTTTATTACAACTTATGAAACCAACAAGAATTTCCTGTCACTGACTTCTGCATGATTGCTCGATCTCCAAAACCAGAGCCAAGGCAGAAAATGACATTTAACAACTCAAAAAGTCTCCCTTTTACATAAGAAAATTTAGTTTGTATCGACCCAGTGCCATTGTGGTTAAAAAAAGTCTGTTTTTTTTTTTTTATGAAAACACTTACTCATTCTGTGTTCAAAGATATATTATTTATTATCCAGGCTTATGTGACTTAGTTCATTGGATTAACGAGTCATAATATTTCTCAAATTTCTCAAATATTTCCAAAAGCCTGTATGACCTTCCTACAATGCCTGTCATGCGAGCACAAGGGCAAAGAATTACCACCCCACACCATTACTGAGCCACAGCCAAATTTTTAATTGTTAGTTTTCTTGGACAGGTTTCATAATAAAAAAATAACAAATGACAAATACAGTATGACCGTAAGGTAGAAGGTCGCTTTCGACACTGCTCCTGACCAAAATCCTGAAAATTCCCTTTTAAAAATTACGGGACGCTATAACAACGGTAACTAAGTTCAAGTTGGATGAAACTGTGCCAGGCTCTGGAAGACCGAACAAAGACAAGTTAAAAATATTCACTCAATCCAAGGTGGCGGACTATGGCTCACAAAACGTGGACACTTAGCACAAACGAGGCTAGCAAAAACATTAGCAAAGAGCCGAGCAGCAGCAAGGGAGTTGATAAAGGACTAGCAGCTAACACTGCAGATATACTTGGAGCAATAAAGAACTTAATTTGATAATGTCATGACAGCTATAGAGGCAGTGAGTAAAGAAGTGGGTGGATGTACAAAACGTTTGACGCTGGCAGAGGAACATTTATCCACAATGGAAAACAAACAAATGTTGCTAATTAACAAAGTTAAGAGCTTGGAGGAAACGAAGAGGCTAATGGAGGAAAAAATAGCTGACATGGAAACAAGATCTCGCCTTAACAACCTTAGATTGGTGAATCTCCCCGAAGGTGCAGAGGGCTCCGATGCCTGTACATTTTTGGAAAGCTGGTTACCAGAAGTGTTGGAGTTGTCTCCTCTGAGAAATCCCCTGATTCTGGAAAGTGCTCATCGCATTGGCCCGAAAAGGAATGCAGAAGCACCCCAAAGAACTATAATAATGCGGTTCCTTAACTATAAATAAAAGGATATGATATGAACCCCAGTCGGCCTCGGCAGATGGCCGCTCACACTGAGCCTGGTTCTGCTGGAGGTTTCTTCCTGTTAAAAGGGAGTTTTTCCTCTCCACTGTCGCTACAAGCATGCTTAGTGTGAGGGATTGTATTTGAGTCAATGAGTCGATGCAATCAACTGGTTTTCCTTAGATAGAAAACTTTGTATCGATTTGACTGTATGATCTGGTTGAACTGTAAAGTGCCTTGAGATGACATGTGTTGTGAATTTGGCGCTATATAAATAAACTGAATTGAATTGAATTGAATGATATTCAAAGCATCTAAAGCAAAAACGGATATCCTCTACAACCAATGGGTGAGATTCTACATGGACGTTCCTATGGAGATCCACAAGCAGCGCAAGCAACACGATGGAGTCCGCAAACACCTCTGCAAGCTCGGGCTGAGACACGGCATCATCCCTCCGGCTAAACTGGTGCTAACGTACCGATGGGAAACTTTCAGGTTCAGCACACCAGCAGAGGTTCAAGCGTTCATTGATCGGATTCAGAAGGGACAGATAAATGCAATGGAGTAACTGAATAGATGCAACACTGAGGAATGTAGCGTTGGCGCGATGATTAGCTAAATACACTTTTTGGTTAGATCATCATTACGTTTACACTGTATAAAGTGAACTTACACTCTTTATCATACTTTTTACTATATTTACCTTAAACTTCTATGTTCATTGTTAGGTTAAGATGTTCTACTTTTGGTAAAAAATACTAGAGTGCACTGCAAATGAATAGGGATAACTAGACTGTTGAAAAGGAGAAGGTCAGGCACAGTACAAATATTTATTTTCATTTGTTGGTGGAGGTTAAGAACTAAGAGAATAGATCATAATGATCTATACTTCTTTATGGTGGGAAGCAAAATATTTGGAGGGCCTGACCATTTGGTTTGGACGGGATTTGTTTGTTCAAATAGTTCAGGGATTGTGGATGTATGTTAGTTTTTCTATCGTTTTTGTTGCCCCTCTTGGTCATATCGGCGGAAATATTGTATCAGTGTGTTTTAAAATGACATAATGCAAAGTACGGAAATGAAAGGCACATCCTGGAACTGTAGAGGCTCACAAAAAAACAAAACAAAAAAAAATTAAGCAAGTCATTAACAAATTGAAAGATCTAAACTCTAAAATAATATTCTTACATGAGACCCATCTGATTGAAGAAGATAGTTTGAAGGTGCGCAGAAGGTGGCAGGGGGATATATATGTAACTCCATTTACAGCAAGAGCCAGGAGAGTAATGACCCTAATTCATAAGTCTGTTCCCTTTCAGGTGACCAATGTTATTAACAAATCAGGGAAATAACTGATTATTCAGGGGTCCATCTTACAAGAAACTCTGAATCCTAGTAAATGTGTATGGTCCCAATTCTGACGACAACGTTTTCTATACCAATACTTTCTTGCCCTTTCATCGTTGACAGGAAAATACTTCATAGGGGGAAATTGGCACTGTGTTTTGGACCCCTCCCTAGACAGAGCTTCTGGAGCTGACCGGACACACATCAGAAGTAGAGGAACAATATGTCATTTTATGAAAGAATTACATTTAGTAGATATATGGAGATATTTAAAACCAAACATATTTTATGACTTCAAAAGAATTACTTTCAAATATAAGAGATTGTTGCTAGTATTGCATTCTATTATCAGATCATGCTCCCTGTAATTTATTATATATTAAGAACAATCTGTGAAAAGACACACCTAGATGGTGCTTACACCAAAAATGGCTGAAGGAAAAAATATTTGTTAAATATGTTGGAGAAAAAAATAGACGAATATTTCAGTATCAATACCACACAAACTTCAGCCTGTATAAAATGGGATGCTTTTGAGGCATACTTGAGAGGATATATAATCAGTTATACCATGTCAAAATCTAAGGAACAATGCAAGAACAGACAACAATTAGTATCTAAGATTAAAGTACAAGAAGGACAAATTTTTAGAAATGGCAACACAGGAAAAGAGAAGGAGCTGCTGTTATTAAAGGTGCAATATAAGAAAGAATCTGCAGAAAGAGCGGCCTCCAGCTTATTAAGATGAAACCAATCATTCAAAAAACAGGGGAAACTCTTGGCTTGGCAAATAAAACAATTGGAAGTGCAAACAAACATTACCTCTCTCATTAATGGTAAAGAGGAAACATTAGTAGACCCAATCAGAATAAATGAAAGGTTTAGAAAATACTATGATATTTATTCAGGAGCATGACTTACGTCTAAATAAGTTAGATATCCACTTGATCGATGAAAGTTATAAAGAAAACCTGGAAGTTGAAACTACAAAAGAAGAACTGAGTAGAGCTATTGACTGCATGAAGGCAGGGAAGAAGGCTGGGCCTGATGGGTTCCCTATAGACTTTTACAAAACATTTAAAAACAATTAATAAGTCCTATCTTTGAGATGTTTCAGGAGGGATATTGTAATGGTGGCCTACCAAAATCAATGACAAATGCTCTGAACTTTGTGTTACCCAAACCAGGGAAACCCAGCAATAAATGTGAGAACATGAGGCCAATAAGTTTGCTTAATGCTGACCTAAAAATGCTCTGTATTAGCAATACGTTTACAAGACTCACTTCCTACAGTAATACTTAGGGATCAAACTGGCTTTGTTTTGGGACGGCAAGATCTACACGATTCGAGGCGACTTCTAAACATTATTCAAGATTCGGGTATTTAAGTCAGGAACCGCATTTCTTTCTTAAGATGCCGAGAAGGGGTTTGACCAAGTCGAATTGCCCTATCTATTCAACATTTTAAACCGTTTTGGTTATGGAAATAATTTTAAAAATTGGGTACAATTATTATATTTAAATCCTAATGCAGAAATATTAACAAATAAAAATGTGTCTAAACCAATTACTATCAAACGAGGATATCATCAAGGATGTCCTTTATCCCCCTTGTTGTTTACATTAGCATTGGAACCACTTGCTATAGCTGTAAGGTCCCATAAATCTATGGGACGGGCATTACAATTCAACAAATAGAACACAAAATTTCATTATGTGCAGATTACATAAACCTGCTTATTTCAAACGTAAAAGAATCTATTCCAAGCTTGCTTGATTTAATAGCGGAATATGGTCATATTTCAGGGTATAATATAAATAAAGCTAAATCTTCATTATTAATGTTGGATAGAAAAGAAATGTCCCCAGAAATAAGCTCAGAATTTAGGCTTGTTAGAAAATTCACATATTTAGGAATCCACATAATTTCAAACCTAGATATGATTGTTAAGAATTATGAACGTTTAACAAAAGAGATCACTGAAAATATCAATAGATGGATGCCCCTTCCCTTATCACTGATTGGCAGTATTAATACTTACAAAATGAATGAATGAATCTAAATCTGTAAGTCCATCCTTACCTGTATATATTTTTTTCTGATTCAATCCCAGGACTGTTGGGGAAAACAGCTAATTATATTTGTTAAAAACATTATCAAAATATGGTATGACATAAAAAAGTTCACAATAGAATCAGTTACACTATCACAATTTATTCCAATATGGGGAAACCAAGATTTTACTCTTGGAAGAGCAGACTCTGTTTTTGAAAAATGGGCTACATAGGGAATAGATAGAATTCAAGACTTGTATCAACCAAATTCAACTTACATGATGTCTTTTGAAGAACTAAGGTAAAAATTTTATATAAATAGAAAATACTTCTTTAAATACCTTCAGCTTTGAAGTAATATTAGGACAAAGAACAAAGATTTAACTAAACCACCAAAATCCTAACTAGAAGAAATTATTAGCAATTTTATAGTTTCGAATTCCCCAGAGGACTCAACACAGAAACAAGAAGAATTAGATGTGGGGATAAACCTGTCACTGGAAGATTGGCAGTCTGCCTGTATAAAGTCTCATAAACAAACGGTTAACTCACGTTTAAGGTTACTGCAATACAAATTGTTATTGCGAATCTATGTCACACCAACCAATTTACATTGGTGTAATCCTAATATACCAGACATATGCACAAAATGTTGAGAAGAAAAAGGGACTTGGTTTCATTGTTTCTGGGAATGCAGGGAAATTCAGAAATTTTGGAAAGCAATAGTCAAAATAATGAAAGATTGTCTCAAAGGATGTTGCACTAGATCCACGTTTTCTAATTTAAGGTTTGTATCCAATAAATAATGTGTTTACTAAATGTGAACAGATGTTGATTGATATGTGTCTACTGCAAGCTAAAAGACCGATAGCACTATTCTGGAAGAATACCTTATTGACTAGGGACCAAACAATGGACCAGGCAAATGCTGAAAACGTTGCCTCTGGAACGCATAACATATCTCCAAAAAGGGAAAAGTGAATTATTTGAAAACATTTGGTGAAGCTTCTAGAAATTTGTTGAAGGAACGAACTTGTCTCAGGATGAAGAAGACGGCTAAAGTCAAGACTAACTTCAGAACAATTTCAAAACAAGGGAGCCTCAACGATGGACTATCACTTTCCATATACTAAAAAAAGAATATATGCAGATATATAACTAAGAGGGCGTTTGTTAATCTTGTTGTTTGTATTTTTTATATGGCAGATATGTTTGTATAAAACAATACAAATAAAATTTATAAAAAAAAAAAGATGCATTTATGTCAATCAACTCTGGGACGTGATCTTAATTTAAATGGCAACAAAAAATAAAACCTGCTTTTTAATGAACCATGTTTAAGAACAAACAATTAAAATATAATAAACTAAATGTTTGCATCTAGTGGTATTACACTGTGAGCAAGGATTGCATTTGAGGAAAAAAAATCCATCCATCCATCCATCCATCCATCCATCCATCCATCCATCCATCCATCCATCCATCCATCCATCCATCCATCCATCCATCCATCCATCCATCCATCCATCCATCCATCCATCCATCCATCCATCCATCCATTGTCTTGCACCAGACTGCTGCCTCCAGGGCAGCAGATGCCCAGACGTCCCCACCTCATCTGGCTCCTTTCGACATTGAGGAGCAACGACTCTACTCCGAGCGTCTCCCAAAAAAAAAAAATCAAATTTTTCCTAAATCTAAATCTTCATAAACAGAAAATTGTGGTTAATCAATAAAATAGATTCATTGGCTAGTCCTACTTTAAAGATAATCCTCCAAATCTGTTTTGTAAAATGCATACATTTTACATTAGAAATATATTTCCTATGAGAATGATTTATTCACTCAACTCACAGTATGGATCTGGTCTGTGGATCCCTCCCACTGTGCCTTCTGGTAAGATTTGAAGATGGTAGCCAATCCCAGCCCGGCAGTAGAGCAGCATCTGTTTGACTGCTTCACCTTTATCCAAGAGAGATAATTGACAATTTTGAGTGAAACAAAGAAAAGCTATAGTCTAGATAAAAAATAAAAAAACAACACCCACAAGACACCTAAACACATATGAAAACTTGAGTCACAAAATTGCCTATTACAACTCTCCAGGGTGTACCCCATCTCTTGCTAAGGGACCTCTGAAGAGGCACCACTTGTGACCCTGTATGGATAAGTGTGGATGGTCCCATATCCTTAATTAATGTGGATATTAAAATAATCTGTAAAGCTTTAGCAAAACGATTAGATAAGTTCACTCCTCTCATAATCCACCCTGATCAAACTGGTTTCATTAAAGGAAGGCAGTCAGCCACTTACACATGCAGATTGCTTAATTTAATTGATTATTCCTACAGTAAAAAAATAAAATCCTACATATTGTCTTTAGATGCAGAAAAAGCATTTGATAGAGTAAATTGAATTTTTTTATTTGTTACTCTACATAAATTTGGTTTTGGCAATTTCTTTATGAATTGGTTAAAAATCTTACATAGCTTCCCAGCAACATGTGTTAGGACAAATAATCAAACATCTTCCAGCTTTTGTCTCCAGAGGGGCACTAAGGCAGGGATGCCCCTCTCCCTCTTCTTTTTTGCCATTTTATGTGAAATAAACCTCTACTTGCTACAATCAGACAAACTAATGTGGTTAAATGTATAAAATGCAGGAAAATAGAGCATAAAATTAGTCTTTATGCAGATTATGTATTACTTTATCTCCAGCACTCAAACACTTGCCTCTCTCAAGTTATCAGATTTGTAGAATCTTTCTCAAAAGTGTCAGATTACTCTATAGATTTGTCTAAATCTATAGTACTACCAATTAATTACTTTCTACGGAACCCTTTAGGTTTACAACTACAATCAGGAAATATCAAATATTTGGGAATTACTGTGTCATCTAAATTAGCTGATTTACCAAAACTTAACCACGTCCTGTTTTTAAAAAAGATAGAAGAGGACCTAGAAAGATGGAAATCGCTTCCGATCTCCCTTATAGGTAGGGTAGCGTCAATTAAAAGATGAATTAACTACCTATTTTCAATGATCCCAATAAACCATCATCAGAATGGTTTAAATCTCTAGATTCTTCCATCTCTAAATTTCTTTGGAAAGATAAACCCCCTCTTATCAGCTTAAAGACATTGCAGAAAACTAAAGACAGAGGGGGCTTCCAACACTACTACTTAGGAAATAGACTACAATATATCTCTAGATATATTGCAGTCGATGGATAAAACATAATCCCTTAGATGAGCCCTGGATAGACACAGAACAGGATATATGCAGTAATATCATAATTTCAGATTATTCGTTTATTAGCTCTAATATCAAGCAGCAACATGTTTTAAAAATATTAACATCAGCTCTTTCCTGACAGCGGGGTGGGAATTTCTTAAAATGATGTAGTCATCGCTTATCCCGTGCAGTCGTACACCCATCTGGAATAATCCTGACATTCTACAAAACAATAATATGATAAACTTTCCGTACTGGAAAATACATGTCTGAAGGAATTTATTTGAAGGAACGGAGTTTATCACTTTTGCAAGATTAAATATGCAATATGGCACTAACAAAAATAAAGTCTTAGAATATAAACAAATTAAATCTATAGTTAGAAATAAATTTAAGCATATTAATGGAGGTTTACAAATTAAAAATAATATATCCTTGGGGGTGCAGTAAGGACCCCAGTCCTTTTCTCCCCATCCCTGGACTCCTCCCTCTGCCTGCTCCATCACACCGTGACACATGTAAGATCTTGGGGAAAGTGTCGTTACTGGAGGGTCACTCCTTCTGGTGACGTCCCCCACCCCAATTTTATGTTGCATTTAGACACTTTCATGTACAACATTTTTACCACAGACATCTATGTAGGGCATTGTCTTGAGGGGTGGGGGGCAAGGACACATGGGGGGGAGCTTATTACAGTACATGGGCCTCACCTTGGTTGCCCCCCCACCACCTCCCCACCCCCTCTCGAATTTAGACGTTGAACATTTTGGGCTATTGATTGGGGGACTTAATTACACCTTAGAGCAACACGCGACAAGCCCCTGTTCACCCCTGTTCTCCGGCTGCCGTCCGGAGTCTGGGGCCTGGAGGAAGAGTGAGCCCCCTAGTCCGGGGGCTTGGCGGTGGGCTGTTGCCGGGCCTGGGGTGCCTGCCGGTGCTTGGGCTGTCATTTCTGCTCTCCCCAAAGGGTGTGGAGGGAGGGATGAATAGGGTTTTTAGGGGAGGGGTTGTAGGAGGCTCTGGTTGGTAGGCCTGTGCAGGGCATGTGGGACGTGTCCCCTGGACAGTCTTCTTCATGTGGGACCTTTTGCTGGGAGTTGACTGGTTTGGGCACGGGTGTGGCACTGGGCCCACATCAGGAACTAGATGGGTTAGTGTGGCGTTGACTCCGCTCCACTCCCCCCATCCAGAGCCCATTTCCCCTCTGTCCTGTCCTGCCCTCCCTCACTGGTGGTGATCGATGTTTGGGGGTGAATGCCTGGGCGGGTGCTGGCCTATTCCTGGCGGCTGCTCCGTGGGACCTGGCCCGTCGGGGCCCGGACAGGGTTCCCGCCAGGGGGTGGGGCGCCCCTGGTGCCTCGGGTCCCTGTGGTCCATGGCTGGATCCACCTCTGGGTGGCTGGCTGCCAGCAGAGCCAGTGGATTCGTCCCCGCAGCTCCCGGTGGCTCTGGTATTAGGGTGGCTGGGGGATTTCCGCTGGGCTGTCTCTCCTCCTCCCTTGGCGGGGGGTCGGATATCCTGGGTTGGCTCCTCCTGAACGCCTTTGCTCTTGGGGTACCTTTGGGCGTCTGGGGCTTTGGGTCCCCGGTGTTTGCCTTGGTGCTCTGGGGGGGTGCCTTTTCGGCACTCTTGGCATTTTTTCTTTGAATAAACTTTGCATCCACAAGAGAACTCTCACAAACAAGTACAGGTGCTTGGCTCAAGGTACTTAGAGATTCACTTCCATACAGAAATCCCATATTCTTATCTTCAGCTACCACAGTAATACATGTCAGATTAAATAATACTACTTATACTTCAGCGATAGTATCAAGGTGTTAGTCTTGTACCATGTCTGTTGGTTGTTCTGTTCTTTTTACATCTCTTTGCAGGTGATAAAGCAGACTGAAGATGTTTTCTCGTTATCTCCCTTTTATCTACTCTTTCTTTTTTTCTCTTATTCCTTTCCTGTTCTACTTACTTACTTACTCTATTTCTTACTGTACTACTCCATATAATCTGTAATATAATCTGCGTGAATTATAATAAAGCTATTTATATGCATAAATCAAGCGGAACACCATGGCGATAGCTGAACTGCTCCACTTGTAAAAGTAAAAGCTGTTGGGCTCTTTTTGGCATCAAGCCAATTATTGTTATTGCCACATTGCAAGACAGGACACTGTAAGAACAAAAAAATAAAAAATAAAGAGTGGATGGACGGATGAAAAATTAGCCCTATTTTAACAGCAGGTTTAATGTTAAAATATTAAAATTAGAATTACCGTAATAAGCCACAAAGCTGCATTTATTCCCCAGAGATCCATCAGTTCCTTTTTTAAAATGTAGGTATGATGATATGCTGATGGTTTCCCTGCTGTTGAAATGTTTCCACTCTGTTCTAGCTGCTAGATAATCTTATCTGTCTGACCTCCACTTTGATTGGATTTAAAGCTAAAACAAGTTCAGACTATTTGACCTAAATTGGATAACAAGCTGAATATGACTGCTTAAAATCAGTCTCACATTTATCAAATGTCTTATCATTCAACACAGTACAGGGATGCAGAGCAGTGTTTTAAAACATTTTGAAAGATCAAACAAAACCATTTTTTTAATGAATAAATATAGAAAATATGATTAAATGATTAATTAAATGTGCTAATTCTTTAAGTAGTTTTAAACAATTGGTGTAATTTTTCAAATTATTATAAAGTGAGCCCTCTTTATACAAAGATATGAATACTTAATAAAACAGGTGATAAGGTTAACTGTACTTAATGATTAAAATTAACTTTGTGCTTATTAAACACAGAAAGTAACTTTTGACTTATTGAAACATCAACATTTAGAGAACTATTGGTCAACATTTTACAAACATAACTCGTATTGGGTGTCAGATAAATAGATGAATTAGGTAAGCCCTTTTGCATGCAAAGGTCCCTACCTATGAGGAAAAAAAAGCTTAGGATCATCCATAAAATCTGAAGAAAAAAACTACAACAGATTGGGAACCTAATATAAGAATGACCAGTTAAAGGTAACATCCTATATCATAAAAGCCCTCAGTATTGCTGATGGGCCTTTTCAAGGAAACATAGAGGCAAAGCTTAAATATCTTTTGGCGTCACATTAACAGCTACAGATAGTGATACCAAAGATTCTGATTCTTTTAAAATGATGGACTAACCTTTTCTTTTTAGCCTGGAATCCCTGAAGTGCTGTTTCCAAAAACCCAGCAATTCGGAATCTTGATCTTTGGCCTCTTCTGATTTCTTTGCTTCTGCTCGCTGAAAATATGCAGTTAAAAGAAGCAGCAGAAGGCTAGGCAGGAGTGAGGAAACAGTCATTGTGCCATACATCAGGTAGCTAGGAGCAAACCCCACAGTGGCATCCTATAAGCACTTATGTGGGAGATGCACATAGTCTGAGACAGATGGCTGTGTGCTTTTAGATATGGAACCTTGATTAATGTTCTGCAGCCTTTTCTCCTTTATCAATGTCTACGTTTTACTTTACTGTACATACTGACACCCGAGACAGTACATCGTTATTATCAGGGCTGTATCAGAGATCCTGCCAACAGCACATTTAACAACACATGTGAGCACCAGTGTTTCTGGAAAAAGCAAGATTGTTTTTTAGGTCAAACAGATCATCGCACATCATATAGCTTAGTGGGTCCTGACAGCAAATTAGTGCAGGAAGTGGAGACAAAACTTGACACCACTGTTTGAGTTTGTTGGCATGGTTGTGTTCTTATGTCATCAGAGGAGAAACAGGGGAGAAAGATGCAAACTGTCTGTTCAGTGTCACAGTCACTGAGATTAGAGAGCGAGCTATACCGATAGTTGGAGTATAAACTTAGAATGATGAGAATGAGCGCACTAAGCAGATATTAAAACTTATGGAAGAGCTGGAAAAAAACTGATCTAAGTAGGTTTGTTTCTTTTTTGCTCTGTCAGAATCGTGAGTTTAAAAGTGTGACTTCAGCTGATAATGATAACATGGTGTTCCTTTAGTTATTAATTCTATTCAACTCAATTCAGTTTATTTATATAGCGCCAATTCACAACAAATATCAAGGCACTTTACAGTTCACCAGATCATACAGTCAAATTGAAGTTTTCTATCTAAGGAAAACCATTTGATTGCATCGACTCATTGATCTGAATGCAATCCCTAACACTAAGCATGCTTCTGAGAGGAAAAACTCCCTTTTAACAGGAAGAAACTTCCAGCAGAATTAGACTCAGTGTGAGCGGCCGACTGGAGTTCAAGGAGACAGAAGCAGAGATACAAAAAGCAACTTATCCAGGAAATACACAGCCAGGCAGACGAGCTCTGAGCCAGCTCCCATGTCAGAGGATGAAGAGAGCACATCCAGCCAGTCACAGTCAGAAAAACAGGACTAGACTGAAAAACAGGCCGATCTCCAACATCTATAAACAAAGCTGTTGATGGAAGCAGCACAGCTAACATTTTTCTCAAGGATAGTGTCACAGCCAAATAATAACAGACGAGGCAAAGCTACTATGAGAAAAAGCAGAGAGACCATAACGTTAGAGATTGAACTAACAGATTCTTCACAGTGGGAGAATAGAGATAGATTGAAGCAGAATTAGGAAATAGCGGTCCCCATGTCCTCAAGAAGTCTAAGCCTATAGCAGCATAACTATAGAGATAGCTCAGAATAACCTGAGCCACTCTAACTATAAGCTTTATAAAAAAGGAAAGTTTTAAGCCTAGCCTTAAAAATAGGGTATCTGGGCAGGGTGTCTGCCTCATGGACTAAAACTGGTAGTTGGTTCCACGGAAGAGGAGCCTGATAACTATAGGATCTTCCTCCCATTCTTTTTTTAGAAATTCTAGGAACCACTATACATACAGGAGTATGGCAGCAGGTCGGTACTGTAGAAAATGCATACCAACTCAAATACGGAAAACTTTGGTGGAATCAATAGTTTTTTGTCATCTTGACTGCTGTTCCATAATTTGTGCAACAACTACAGGAAATAACCTGAACAAATTACAGGTTGCACAAAATAAAGCAGCTCGGCTTGTTGTAAACTGTTCTTTTAGAACAATTGTTAGAGATATTCACAACTAGTTAGCATGGCTCCTTGTAAGGAGCAGAATCAAATATCCTTTAATTAAATACTTGTGACATGTAATTATTACAAAAGCAACTGAAATTATTCATAATAGATTGACTTTTTTTATGACATTCATAATTATTCCACTCGTCAATCAAGTGAAAGAGGTTTTTGGTTACATGCCTGTTAAACAAATCAACTTCAGAGAACATAGTGTTATAGGGTGATGATGGCTGGAACTCACTCCTGCAATTCTTATTTTCAGAGATGTACAATGTTATGTTTTCCAAAAGGCTTAGACTATATATTTACTTTGGAGTGACTGTAACATTTATGGAATGAAGTAATTTATAATGAGCACTAGTAACTGGAATGTTACAGAATCCCCAGAGATTGGTCATGTTTTGTACATAGAATAGCTCATACTATATGATTTGTATCTGTGTGTATGTTATATATATGTATGTATGTGAAGTTGTATTGTTGTGTGTGTGTGTGTGTGTGTTTGGGTGGGGTGGGGGTGGGGGGTGGTGGTGGTGGTGGGGGGGGTTACTTCTGTCTTTGGTTTCATTGTTACCCAGTTTTAATGTAATATCTGTAAAAATGTTAAGACCCCAAGAAGAATAGCTACTGCTTTGACTCAATAAACAATAAATTTAGCAAACCTGCCGATTGAGAGCGATTTCTAATTTTTGCAATATTCTGCAGATGAAAGAAAGTGATTCTACAAACTTCTCCAATATGGGATCTAAATAACAGATCCTCATCAAAAATAGCACCAAGATTTTTAACTTTATTATCTGAAATCAGTTTAATCTCATCCAAATGAAGTGACTGACTAATCAGCTTCTTTTTCAAAGACTCTGGTCCAAAGACTATAATTTCTGTTTTGTCTACATTTAGGAGCAGAACGTTAAGAGTCATCCAGGTATTCATATCTTCAAGACATATTGGTATCTATATCTATATCTATAAATTATTAAATAAACATAATACAAAAGGTTTAGCTTGGCTAGAACCGCTGACTTGGCAACGATGTTTAAGATGGTTGCACTGACAACAATTCATTAACCTCATACTGTTGATAAAGAATAATTACTTTTGTGACTGTGAAAAAACATCTGTTTAAAGCAAAACAGGAGCACTAAAATATTTCCAGGGCCTTGGAGTACATGAAAAAATCAACTAATAGAAATAATACTGCTGAAGTGAGGATAGCAGGATAACTGAATGCAGAAAAGCCCTTGCTTTTAATGAATATACTCATATTCTGATATCCAGCCCCTCATAGTTAACCGTGTAACAACTGTGTTTCATTTGGTGCTACTTGTTTTCCTAGACTCCCATAAAAAGATTGGATCAAATTAATGGTAAATACAGGAAAATACAGGAAACAGTCCTTTAAAATATTTTGGAGCATAAATGTACAGATAAACAGTTAGAATTTAAGATATATCAGTGTAGTATACTATTAGAACGTATCCTAGAGTCACATCGCTTTTATGTTTAATGGAGCCTAGGCAGAAATTCAACTGAAGAAACTCATTTGCTTTTCATATATCCACCTGCAACAACGGCCAATTAGCTTTGAACCACACCTCCAAAAAAACCAATCGGCATCCAAAGTTTATCTTAAAAGGCCTCCAATACGCACTTGTCTGCTCCTGTGCCCTCCATTTATAGCGACACTTGTTTTTACCTTAATTGTGATTTTTAACTGACACTTGTTTTGCGTCAATTTTTGAATTGTGTAGATAAAGTGTTAAGTCAAAAAGTAATTTAGTGACCCCGTAGGAAGCTATGTGTCTGCTGCGCCTGTCTGGTTGGGGATTATGTAGCTCACTGCATTCATAATCTCTCCTTCTAGTTTCAGATCATCATCAACTGCATGTCTCAACTTCAGAATAGTCACAGGCATTCCCCTCAGCGTATTGTTTCTATCTAAATCTGCACCATGTTAGACACGTTTCATCGTGGCGGGTGCCCTAGGCACCCTCCATCCATCGCAATATGTCATGACGCCCTCTATCACTGCGTCAGGAGGTTATGGTGCCAGATACACAGGGTGCCCTCCATCTAGTGGCGGGCGCCTACGTTCCCCTTCTTCTATCGCTGCAGGTACTCATGGTGCCTTTTCCTACCGCTGCCTTTTCACGGCAGCTTTTATCATCGCTGCAGGTGCTATGGCACTTTTCATTGCACGCCACTTCATGGCACCCCTTTTATCATTGCTACTAGGTTATGGCACCCCTTTTTCCTTTGCTATAGGTACTTGGCGCCCTCCATCATCGCTACAAACGCTCCTGGTGGCCTCCATCCATCTCTGCAGGAGCATCATGGTGCGTTATATCTGTTTCGGCGAAAGTTCTGGCAACCATTCTCAATCGCTACAGGCACTCATGCAATCATGGCGCCTATAATCTTCGCGGCGGGCGCCTCATCGTGCCTATCATTGTGGGTGTACATGGCGCAGAATCACGGCGGCCATTTTATGCTGCTTCTAGCAACGTGACGGGCATTTTATGCCGCCTTCTAGTATCGCCTCATGGCACCTATCATTGTGGGCGTTTATGCCAGCAGCATTGCGGCGGGCATTTTATGCTGCCTTCTAGCATCATTGCGGGCACTCATGGCCTCCATCACAGCCAGTCTATTATGGCCCCCAGGTCTTTGCCTGATGGTTAAAAGCCCGATGTGCTTTAAACCATTGCAGCAGCGCTTATGGTGCTCTGTTTTCATTGCAGCAGGTGCACTACGGCCCGTCAGCTCATTGCTCCAGGCACATAGCACCCAAACCTATTCATGCGTTCACATCCCAGGCCCTTTGCTTTGAACCCCTTAGCATCATGGATCACGAATTTCGACTGAAACATCTTGCTTAACCATTGTGGCTTGCTTGTTTCGTCTTCGGTCATCGCGGCTTAGCTAGATCATTGCGTCCTCATCTCACTTTCTCAGCTCATCGTGGCTCTCGTATCATGTCCCCAGCTCATTCCTACACGGTTGTGTGTTCTCTGCTCGATATCAATAGGTTTTGGGGGGGGTTCGTTAAATAATTGGTTCGCAGTTCATGGCTGCTACCCTCATCATTTCTAATTCTCTAATGCTTAGTGAGGTTTACCCATTAGCTGAAGCTTGCGTCGTCAGGCCATTGATTTAAATGGAGCAGCCGCAACAGTGATCCGTGGCGTCTCCTTGAGTTTCTTAGCAACGGGGCTGATGGTCTTCAGACTATGCCTCATATATCCGCCCTGAGTATGCATTAATCTTTCTGAAGTATTCAACATTCTCTCAGCCTTTAGGGTAAGCTAACTACAAAAACTGGTGGTGGTTTCAGAACTCATTTATATCCTTCGTCAGATCTGAATGTTTGATTATTTCAGTTGTGTTTATAACCCATTCTCATCACTCATCTCTCTTCTGTAATCATTCATCCTCTCATTCATCACAGCATCATCCCCTCATTCATCCCAGCAATCATCCCATCATCATTCACCTTACCTCACCATCCCTTCACAAACTTTTGGTAGGCCTTCGCCGCAACTGGCCCTCATTTGGTAGGCCTGAGCATGCTGTCGTATTGGCCTCAACCTCAGCAATTTTTTTTTTTTTTGGGGGGGGCAGCCCTATTTTTTGTTCCTGTTCATGCATATCAATCAAAATTAAGATCTATGTTTCCTGCCTAGGTCTGAGCGCCAAAAACACAGTAATTGTATCAATAAATATCTCTTGTCTCTTCTCTTTGTGTGAGTCTTTCAGATTGAAACGGAGCCTAGGCAGAAGTTCAACTGAAGAAACTCATTGCTTTTCATACATCCAGCTGCGACACAGCCAATAACCTTTGAACCACACCTCCACGAAAGCCAGTCGGCATCCAAAGTTCATCTTACAAGGCCTCCCCTCCTCGACCTTCAAAGCTAAGCTTCATCAGAGTGTCATTCCTCCCGAACTCTTACAGCGTTCCCTGTCTCATCTTAACCGGACCGGCCAAAGACCGCCATGTTGAGCCTGGTTCTGCCAGAGGTTTCTTCCCTATGGGGGGAGTTTATCCTCTCCACTGTCGCTCCATGCTTGCTCATCATGACAGGTTCTCTCAACCAGGGATTTGAACATAGGGCCACTCTGTGCAAGTGGGGTAACTTACCACTTGAGTTAGCCAGCTGACTTTGATTTAGTGATGAATACTGAAACATTTATTATAGTGGGACATTCTGACATTTATGATAACACTGAATGGATAAAACTGTAATTCTGAGCCTTTTTAAAGGAGAGAGTGGAGATTAGATCACTCTTCCCTCCTGAAGGACCTGTAAAACATGTCTGGTAAATGCATATATCATCACTGCATAAATATAAACAGGCAGACATAATCAAAGGTTTAACTTTATTGCGACCACTTAGCATTCATTACATAAAATGTTAGAAAAATCCCCTTTCATTCCCCTCCCTCCTTGCCACAGTGAGCTTTAAGTTCAAAACTAATTAGACCTTCATTAAAGGTAGGCTTCAAGCTAGTGTCTTTTGTAAGAACCTCATATGACCATTACAGAGTGCAGTAATTGTGCCATTAAATAAGCTATTCATCATATATTAAAATAGAATAAATTATGTAGTAACCTTTTCTGAGGACTTTCATTAATATAGAGTGCTAAAAGCATTGTAAGTGTAAATCTAAAATGTAAAATTTCTTCTATAAACATCTTATAGCAAGTTTTGTAAAAGTTAGTCTAAAAATTCCTTAAGAAGCATAAAATAATGAATTGATTTGATCCCCTTTATCTTGTTGCTCCTCCTGGTCATCCCTTTTTCACACACTACTGCATATTGACTGACAGCTCCCTCCACATCAATAGGCATTCATACATACTAAATATGAAATACGGCCTACAAGTTGTAGGCCAGGCAAAAGCAATAACGGCATCTTAGATCCAATTGATTGTTCTCAAAATATCGACAAACAGCTGGAAAATTGTCTTAATCCTACATTAACACCATGTCTAAATACGTTTTTTTGTTTTTACAATCCTGCCGTCTCTCCATTTTAAAATAACCCATGAGTTTATTCTGAGTTATGTTAAAGTAAATCTTGACAGACAAAATCTAAATTTCCTTATAACTTAAGTGCTACAAATCTATCCATTGCAGCTTTATGGCTCCCTGGAAATAAGTGGGATATGAACAGGCAGAAAACTGCTGTGTGACATGGGGCATAGTTTGTAGCTCCTGTTCTCTTGCATCATGAAGATCTTGGGTGTGAACCTTTCTGCAAGTTGCTCCAGCTTCTTCCTAGTGTATAAAACGTAACAGCAACGTTAATTGGCGACTCCAAATTGCCCCTAGGTGTCAGTGTGTACCCCACCAGTCCACCAGCACCTAGAAGAGGTGCCACAGTGTTACTTATGGCTGTGTCTGAAATGGCAGAGTTGAATTGCACCTCTTGTGCTCTAAACACATTGTAATGGATCATTATATTAAAAGAATGTATGGTTTGACTGAAACCTTGAACTGAAATCCATAGAGAAAAAAGGCAAATGCAGAGGAGCTTCCATGCTATTTAGGAACTACATGCATTTTTAGTTACAAAGGGAACATTTTTACTGTGTTTCCTTGTGTAGGCAAGATTATTCATTCTCTACTTACAGTACGTGAAGTAATATTTCCTCCAAAACTTTATAATTCAGAGCTACAGGTGAAAAGTCATAGTTCTACAGAGAGGATTTATGTAGAGGAAAAAAAGTAAGTTTTTTTTTTTTTCTAAAAGTCATACACAGATTGTGAATCAACCAAACGCTCATGAATCAGGAGGAGTGAGGATCTCTAGAAAGGTTTTTGACATAAAGCCAGACGTTTCTTTCACCCTAGTGTCCTCCTTGGTGCATATAGTTATATTACGATTAATTAACTCACTGTCCACAATCGGAATTGTAATTTTGTTACAGTATTTAAGCTCAAATCTACCTGAAAACTGTTTACCATTTTACTTGTCTGATATTATGCTAAATTATATAAAATTAACTTAGCAAAATATGGTATTTCTTTTATACAGTCCTTAATAACTAAGATAGACAAAAGCAAAAAAGATGAAGGTCTAGAAACAAACCACTCAAGTTAACATGTTCTTCTCCATAGAAAATATCTAATATAGGTGTAGAAAGACTTTAATGGCTTACATGCTCAGTAAAGAAGGACAAACTGTAAAATGCTTTCATGATTTTGACTGGAACAATGTTGGTCGTTTCTTGGATAAACAGTAGTAAAGCAGAAAAAGGTTATCAAAAAATAAACATTTATATTATTAATGTTGATCAGATTTTTGGAAAGCTTGCAACATAAATAAAATAAAAACATGTTAATAAGATCTCAGCATTTGACTTACATGTACTGAAAATAACTTGTGTAAGCATAAATTAGAGATTAATGATATTATGAACACACCAAATGCCATCATCTCTCTATTTCAACAAATTTTAACAACATAGACCAAAATACAAACCATTTTCATTTAATTTAAATACCTTTTCTACATGAAACTACTAGAGGTGTAGTCTGTATATTTTATTGAAAGGATTAATAAGGGATATTTTAAGCAGCAGATACAATGGAGGTCATCTAGGCAGATATTGACCAATCATATCCACATATTTCTATTCCTATAGCTCCAACCTTATAAAAAGTTCAAAAACTAAATGAACCAGATCTCTATGAAGTGATCTAACAGGCCCCTGTTGAGGCTGAGGTTGGAGCTGTGTCTTTGTCCAAAATAACCCTGATAACGATCCCACGTGTATTCAGTTCCTGTTCAGGCTGGCTAAACAGAATCCAGAGCCAGGAGGTAGAGGTGAGTTAGGAGGCTCCTTTAGCCCTCAGCTTAGACAGCAGCATCTCATTTTTGCGGCACTCCTGGTAATAGAAAAAAATATTTAATCATACTGAAAGCTTTATTAGAAAAATAGACCAACAAAACGACTTGACAAGTGCATTCTTTTAATTTGTTTCACCTGCAGAAATACCTAAATCTTTAAGCCTTATTAAACATTCTGTAATTTATCGAGAAAGTCTCAACTACATTTCCCGTTATTCACATTCATTTTAGGAATAAATACATTAAAAAGCAGCAAGTTCTTTGGAGGACTTTGGTTTGGTAGTAATTGGCTTAAGCTAGAGGCTTGAGCTACATTGAGTAAATCTGTGCTATTCTAGCAATGCCTCTCTGCTGGATTCAAATGTTCTCTCTCATGGTTAATGTGAGATTTACTTTAATTTAAAAAAAGCCTCTTACCTCTTTAAAATCTTTGACAGTTTTAAAGTAAAGTCTCTGCTTGTCGAGCAGCTCCAGGTACTCATCATTCAACTGATCTCTTCTCATTTTGTTTTCCTGCTTCTTTTTTTCCATCTGAAAATGAAGACAGGCAAACTGAAGATAATGTGTTGAGAAACCTGCCACGCAGTTACAGCAACAATTTTACCTTCATGCGACTCTGTTTGATACCCTCCACTATCTGCTCCATCTGTCTAAGAAACTGGTCTTTGGCTGCGGCAGATGACATAGCTCTGGAACATGGAAAAGCTGCTAAGAACTCATTTGCAACAGAAAACCAGAAACATAATGGCTACAGTGATGAGAAAACACAGCTCCATACTAAGACTGTACATTATCATTTTGTTTACAGACATGTTACTTACTGTTGAAAGTTGTCATGGATTGAATTCAGCAGATTAACCTAAACAAATAAAATTCTTCTTCGTCAAGATTGTTTGGAACATGTTCATTTATTGCTACAACTAAAACATTCAGATTTGTAGATTTGTAGAGTTATAATTTTGGTGACTGCTGTGATTACCTACCTCCTTCTCAAGATAGACCTTTTTATCATCTAAGGTGTTATACAGTGTGAAGAACTGCTTGGTCTCCTTGTGTGTAGCAGAAACTGGAGGAAAAGATTTAGGAAGGGTATTTAAAGACATAAAGAAACCCCACCTGAAGCTATATCAGATGTAGAAGAGAATTCCACCTTGGCTGTAGAGTTCAATAAATCTTTTTTGGTACTGTGTCAGCTCAGCCCGGCTAGGCACCTCATCAATCTTCCTCTGCAGGATTGCAATCTCGCGGTTCCTGCGAGCCTGAGCAAAGCAAGACGCAGTTAGATAGTTTTATTAACAATAAACATACCCATGGAGACATTCCTAGGTTCTCTATCTAGATTACTGAACACTCAACCTTCATGTAGGAAAAATTGATTGGTCAGAGTCCATTTTAAAAGTTTTTAGTTTTCATCTGAACTTGTGAAGAAAGGGTATCATTCCATGAATACTTTTTTTCGTTCTGGGCACAGCAAACATATTCTTAAACAATGCAACTGTGTTGTATATGTCTAATAGCAGAGCATCTATGCAGATTTGAAGTAGCAATCAAAATGCAGATTTAATTATTCTGAATTGATGAAACAAAGTAAAACAGACATTAATTTTAAAAATGTACATACTTTTAAAATTTACATTTTCTAAATGGTTATTCTGTTCTTGAAAATATCAAAATATCAGCTTATAAACAGCTTTGTTTCAACATCTATACCTTGCTGGCTTGTCAAATATGGACACCATATCCTGAATAAATGCCTATCTTCAAAGCAGTGTTTTTTTTGTTTTTTTTTATCCAAGATTTCCCAGTTTTACTTTCTCCGTTTTGAAATTCTAACTAGATGGATCTTTTCAGACAAAAGTCTTTCTTGCCAAAGATTTGAATTCTGCAAAGCTTCTAAAGGAGAAGTTCTATTATATTTTGAGTTTTTGTCAAAGCACGAAGTTCTAGTTTAGCAGAGTTTTACCTCTGTTTGGACAAGATGAAATGTGTTGTGAATGTGTATGGGAAAAGAGGAAGAGCACTGCAGGCTGCCACTGCAATTACACATGTATTTTGTAAGTAATTCAATTTCTGTTGATAAAATAACAAATATTGATGTTAATATTAACAGAGCATCTTACCTTTTTAGCAAAAGGAGTGGAAAAACTAGCAAAACTATGTGCTGGGCCATAAACTATAATAATTTTGGACACTGAGGAACAAAGTCCTTGTTTTATCTTAACCATATTCACTGAGGTAAAGGATGCAGATTTTTGTTCCACAATTGAATGTGAGGACTCTCTTCTTCAATTACCCCCTCTCTCTCCAAGACCCCCACAGTGCCTTGAGGACAAAACAATAGCCTGGAACGTTCAGATTGGAAGAGCTAACAAGATGCACCGCATGGTAAGCTATAGTCCCATTTATAATACCCTTGAAAAACCGATCCATGCCGAGACCGGTCTGAGCTCGGATCAGTTAACCAGGCTGAGCTCGGTTTTGACGACCGTTTACACATCACTCTATCTCGGTTCCTCGACTCCTCGCCTTCTAGTGACGATCTGCGTTATTACTGCCAGTATAAAAGGAGGAAATCAAGCAGTTGGTGGCTGTAATGTACCAAAAGTTGTTTGCCAACCGCCATAAAACACAAGAAGAAGACGAAGAAGGGGGGAATCAAGCAAATCAAAATGGCGGCGCCTGTCACATTCAGAAAGTTATGCTTGATTATTATTGCTGTACTTCGGTGTTATTATTTTAAATGCCTTTATTTAAAATGCTGCGTGAAGAAGATTTTGATTGTTGTTTATAGTTGAAGAAGCAGTTCTTCTTCTTTTGTTTCCGGAGGGGCATTACCGCCAACTACTGGAATGGAGTGTGAATCGCGATGTGCAGCCAGACGGAGATTACATGTTCTGCTCATGCGTTCTTGTTATCAGAGAACCGAGCCAGGGAAAAACCGAGCAGAGCCCACCTCCGGAACTGGTCTGCAGGTATCTCGGTCTGGTTGTGTTTAGCTTGGTTCAGTTCAGTTTGCTTTCCATTTACACACAATAAGTTATCTCAGTTACTGAGCTTGCACCGGTCTCGGCACGTTTTTTCAAGGGTAGTGTAAATGGGGTATATGCTAACATGTATGAGCTGTTGTTTATACAGCTGTTGTTTATTTCACTAAAGTCCGGCATACACTGTATGAGTTTTTGCCCTTTTCGAGACGATTTTTCAAGTTGTGCGAGAATTTTTTCGATCGGGTCGAGTTTCGGCCTCATTGCGCGCCCTGCGTTGTGTAGTGTAAAGGGGCCTCTCACGACCACCTCCTGATCAGGAATTGTAAGGTCGGGAGAAAATGAAATGTTTGAAATTCAGTCAGCCATTGTGAGATGTCCATAGAAAATCCTGCTGTTGAAGCAGAGCCACAAGCATCTATGACCCGATTTACCAGAACCTCATGTAATAAGCATGTGCAAACAAGGGAGTTCTTCTTCCAGATTGACGTGTTCGACTAGCGCCATCTCTCGGTGCATGAGTCCGACCTGTGGCTTTTGGATGTGCAGTGTGAGCAGGTAGATCGCATCAGAGCGTTGGGCTGCACAGTGCGAGAACATACATCGTGAGCTGTGAACTTTTAAACCCTGCGGTTTCGTCGTACAGTGTGAGCTGTAGCTGCACACAACGATTGGAAATATCGCACAGTGTATGCCTGGCTTAAGGGTTTAAACAATAATATAAATTTAACGTGCATGTGTTTACTATTATGCTCATTACATTTTGATTACCAAATTAATTTAATCTGAATCTTTATGCCTGCTAGCTGCTAGCTCACTCAAAGAAGGTCAATAATCAATTGACTAAAGATAATTGATTTCTGATTAAGCAAATAATTTAATATAACATTATTCGGTCATATAATGTTTTATTCACCCCTTGAATTTCTATTATGAATTGTTTGAAAACATTCAAATTGCTCTATATGAGTTAAAAGCTAATATTCATGACAAATACAAAATCGATGCTAAACTTTGATATCATTGTACTTTCCCATTGTTTACGGTTTTCAACCATTTTATTTTTATTCTTTTTTATATAGCAGCTAAGTTTAGCTGATTTTCAGTCTAGTGTGTTCTTTTCAGGGCTATTGCTGTTAAGCGATTGTCATTTTCTTTTTTTCCAGCAAGCTGGATGGAAATTCCTACAAGGACAATAATGCAGTGATGGTGTGAATTAAGAGAATGTTGCTGACACTAGTTGCTGCTGGCAATCTAATGCTGATGTCTACGTAATGCTGTAGTGCAGGTTACCATAAGCAGTCGGATCTTCTGCAGTTTCTCTCGGTCTGAGTTGTACTGATGGTCTATTAACTTGCTTCTCTCCTGGGGACAGAAAAAAAAAGAATTTATAATTATGGATGGGCATGTTTCTGGAAACAACCATACTAATAAAGACGTTAAATATCAGAGCTGTGGATGATTAACCTGCTCCTCCTCTGTGTCCTGTCCTGAAGTTGACTTCAGCTCTTCAATATTCTGCTGCAGACGGGACATCTCTTCCTGTTGACAAAATGAGCTTAATAAAATGAACTGAAAATGTTCTACTGAGGGAAAATGTTCATGTCCTCACCCTGCAGTGTGTGCGGAACTGCAGCTCCTGCTGCCTTAGATTCTCATTCATCATCACCAAAGCCCTGAGGTTCTCTAGCAGGCTGCCGAAGAGACAAAAACATTGCACCAGTCAGAGCTCCTGTGCTTCCTGCAACTGACTGAAGCCCAATTCTCACTTTCCTGTGGATAAAACACTACACTCACAACTGAGAGCTGCTGCCAGCAGCAGCACTTTCAACAGTTTTGTATTTGGCAATTCCCTGCTTCAGCTCCCCTTTAACTGTAGGCCAGGAGGGGAGCACATTACACAAGAGTAATCTGGGTCATTTTTAGGATCCAAGCAGATCCAAACTCGGCCACAATCTCAGGTGTCTTCATGGTGACAAGAAATCTACATGAAGTAATGAAATCAAGATGGCTCACCCACTGTCCGCTTGTTTCTCCATCTCTTCTAATGACTTCATCTCCCTCTCCAGTTTTAATGAGTGTTCTTTAGCCTAAGAACAGACAGAAAGACACTTTTAGCTTTACGCTATTAAAGACATTAAGCAGGAAAAATAATATATTCAGCAAAGACTAAGGTTGTGTCTGAATGTCCGCCCTAATCTCTATATAGGGCAATACATAGTGGCCAGGCCATTTTAGATGAGTTTCCAAATGCTTATTGGATGGACATTTTGAGTCCACTACTTAGTGGACTCAAAATGTCCCACAATGCACCTTTAAAAGAAGTGATCATCCATGGTCACTAGACGAGCAGATATATCCCAGAATTCTTTGTGGGGAGAGCTTTCCTCGCAAAAAATCATGGGATTTCATGATGAGCAGAAAAATATAGATGGCTCAGGCACCTTGCGGTTTGGGGCGATTAAGGAAATTTGGGACCCTAGGCAAAAAACAAACATGGGGCCCTCTGAATTGAGAAGACAACACATAAAACAGGACCATTATACAGAAATTGAATTAAAAATGGACATACATTATTTGTTCTACGTTTTGATCCTCTTCTTGTTTTTTCCTCTCTATGTTTTGTACTCAGCTAACTTTTTATGCTGTCTCTAAAGGAATTAAAGATTTTTTCCAAGCACAAAGCTCACTTAACTGATTGCTCCTTCCTGTGTTTCCAAAAAGGTGACCGCAAAATTAAATAACACAGTCCTCCTTTCTTTGTAGACAAGCCATGATCTGCTTATCTGTTCTCCATTTTTCATTTTAATGAAGTAATAGCTGCATGAATCATGACAGCAGACAAGAAAGAGCAGAGCAGGAAGCGGGGTTACAAATCTACTTGCTCTGTTCAGTGCTTTCTTATGTTGTTGCCAAAGTCTCCTGTAGCAGAAAACAGTCACTAGATTTGGCAGGAGGTGTTTTTTTGAAATAAAATGCTAGAGGGGTCTGAGAAGTCTCTAAATAAAGCGACAAAATTGTTAAGTTGGCCACACTGCTCTTCACACTGTTTTCAAATGGTTTGCTGCTTTCTGTTTGGACCTTTCTGAACATGTGTAGCAAAAATAATAAAAATATAATGTGCACAAATAAGGAATAGTTGTATTAACCATACCTGTGCACAGAGTTTTATGTGGCCCCAAGGAACTTTGGGCCCTAGGTAACTGGCTAGTATTGTCTAATGGTTGGGTAACCAATGGGGAGCGAAAAGTAGTGATCATCTGTCCGGATGTTTTAAAAACTGCAACTTTCTATTTAAATCTAGTTTAGTCCTTTGTGTTATGTGGAGGAAGGAACTTTGTAGTGGCTTATAAATCTGACAAGCATATTTCTAAGGTGTTTTCGTGCATTAGTCCTTAGAAAATGTATCAGATATTAAACGTCTCCCATGTGTGAATGAAGCCAAAACAGTAGAAAATAAATTTACAGATTTACATCAATTCCCAGAGCTATATTGGCTAAACAACAACAACAAATCAAAAGATGGGGACAGTAAAATGGATGTATGCAGTTACCTCCATGAGACTCCTCTTTGCCTCTTCATTGTGGGCTATCACCTGAGCATGGTTGGCTTTCAGCTGTCAGGACACAAAACATGTCAGCGCAGGTTCTAATAGTGCTGGAGCCACAGCCACCATTACAGAAAGTCCATTGTAGAGGTAGACCGATGCATTGACCGCCCAATGTTTTTGATCAACCTTAAAATTAGTTTCTTCTATTGTATTCACCAACTCATTAGCTCAGAGTGGGGACGTATTTATAGAAAAGAAAATGCATGAATATCTGCTCACTCCATTTGCTATGCAAGTTTTAAAAAAAGGTTTCCCAATTGTAAAATATGACACTTTTGTTATTGTAACATTTTTTAAATCACAAAAAAGAAGTAAGAAAAAGCAATATCTGCTTCAGTAATCAACCACCAAAAACAATAACTGGGGATCAGTTTACTGATGTCCAAAGAATCACTATTGGCCTTTAGAAAAAACTGTATCAATTCAAATCTAGTCCATAGTTAAGGACAGAACTGTTTAAACTTGTAAAGAAAAACAAATGCAATTTTAAAACCATATTAGCAGGTAGGCTCAGCAATCCATAGGCTTTCCAAAAATGAAGACATACAATAATGAGAGTAGCTACATTAAAATCTACAGCAGTGCAAGCAGACATGCTGATGGGGAGTAGGTTATTTGGTGAACGATGCTGTAAACATCTGTTCCTGCTACTAAAACATATTTCTTTTCTCAGCTATTTATTTTAAATCAGACGGAGAAACAGATGGGTAAGATTTGTGATGGAGTGATATGGAAGAGTAACCAAAAGTAATATGCTGACCTCTTCCAGCTGCTCAATCTTTTGTTGGATCTGTTTGTTCAATGAGGCAACGGCCCGGCGGTGCTGCTGCAATGGACCATATCGCTCTGAGCGCTCCTCTAAAGAAAGCTCCAACTGCTGCAAGGTGATGGACAAATAATTACCAGACAATGTCCACAGCTCAACCAGCACCTGGCCATTAGCTAAATTCTTGTTTTTAATCCATAAACATTTGCAAGGGTTATCTTTTCTAGTAGAACCAGAATACTGGCTGTGTGTAAGATGCATTATCAGCACTGACCTTTTCAGCATACTCAGAAGCAATCAGCTTGATCTCCTTGGACTGGAGCTCAACTATCTGACCCACAGCACTTGCAGTCAGCTTCCCCTGCACCAAAAACAAACTATTCACATCGAAGTTGCACATCCAAACCGTCTTCATTATCACTAAAGTTAAACTGAAACCAACGACTGGGCAAATATCCTTTGTGATAGAGTAAAGAAATAAAATGGCCACCTAACAAAGTGCTAATGTATATACACTAAATTAAACATAATACACAGAATCTGAAGTAAAGGACTTCTTAAATCGTCAGGTGGGCGAATTAAAAAAAAAAAAAAAAATAATTCTAAAACTTTTTTGTAAAGTGTTTATTAGAAAATGTGAGTCTGCTTACCTCTCCAGTTGCCATGGCAGCCATACTGGTCATCAGGTTTTTAATCCGCATCTAAGCAAGAATATCAAACCATATTTTGTATGATATACTTAAACAGTATCCATTATTTTTTTGTATTAAACAGAAGCCAGTTTGGCAAACAAGGTAGTAATAAGATGTCATAAAACTTATTCTTTAGATTGGGCACATAAATTGGTAGATTTCAAGCATTTGTTATGATTGTTGATCAGGGCTTCAGTGTTCTGCTGAGACACAAGGATTCAGATAACGGACTGGACTCATTCAGCTAGAGGTCCAAAGCCCTTTAATTATAATAATTTAAAGTAGAGATGCAAAAAATCCACACCGTTTTAAGCGAGAGCTTCCCACTGTCATCTGCTATTTTTGGTCCACAGCGTTTCTCTAAATACACCGGTACCTTCTCAACTATCAACTATCGTATGTGACAGTGCTTTACTCAAAATGGCATCACTGCAGACTGCCCAGAACCAAATTTAAATACAATATGGAGATTATTGTTTCATGAAAGGAAAGCAATAACAGAGCCAACACTGCAGATGACCTGAAGTGGACTCATAGAACTGGTCCCTCTAAACACCCTAAGGCAAGTTATACACGCGCTTCGGGTTGTCGCGCCCATAGATGCGCTGTATACTTTTATCGTTCGACGTGGACGTAGGTGCAGTACTCGTAAAAACCACAGAGGGGCAGGGATGATCATAACGAGCAGAAATGCAGGAAGAAAAAAAAAGAAAGATAAGAGGAAAAACAGTATCTTACAAAATGGCAGAGGGCAGTTTTGTTTTGTTATGATTATTGAATAATAATAGGTTTGTTACACAGATATATATGGTGGAATTAAACATTTGCCTGCTGCACAAAGAGATTTGATACTGGGCAAACCAGACCCCCTGTGAATCCCAGACAGATCCTTTTTAAAAAAAAAATAAATAAATAAAAAACATAGGCCTGCATAAAAAAGGCTTGCTAAATAAATGCTGAATGCATTGTATACAACGGGTAGTTGTTTCAGACTTTATCCAGAGTAGCTTTGCCTCGTCTGTTCCTGTTTGGCTGTGACGCCATCCTGGAAAGAAACATCAGCTGTGCTGCTTCCATCAACACCCTTGTTTATAGATGCTGGAGATCGACCTGTTTTCCAGTGTGGTCCCGTTTCTCTGACCATGACTGAGTGGATGTGCTCTCTTCGTCCTCTGGCATGGGAGCTGGCTCGGAGCTCGTCTGCCTGGCTGTGTGTTTCCTGGACGGGGCCACCTTTTAAAGCTCCTTCTTGTATCTCTGCTTCTGTCTCCTTGAACCCCAGTCGGCCTCAGCAGATGGCAGCTCACACTGAGCTGCCATCTGCTGCTCCAAATGGTTCTGCTGGAGGTTTCTTCCTGTTAAAAGGGAGTGTTTCCTCTCCACTGTCGCTACAAGCATGCTTAGTGTGAGGGATTGTACTTGAGTCAATGAGACAATGCAATCAACTGGTTTTCCTTAGATAGAAAACTTTGTATCAATTTGACTGTATGATCTGGTTGAACTGTAAAGTGCCTTGAGATGACATGCGTTGTGAATTAGGGGTGGGTATTGCCAAAGGAGTCACAATTCGATTCGAATCACGATTCACAGGCCACGATGCGATTCTATCACGATGCATCACGATACTTGAATTATTGCGATGCATTGCAATATTTTCTCCTCCATGTTTTGTTTTTGAATGACACGGCGCAGTAGAAATGCTTGTGACACAAGGCAGTGTGCATCAACACATCAGCAGCGACATCTACTGGACTGAAAGTTGTATTACACTTGTTTTTGGCTGATGTTCGCCAACCATTCATGCAATTTTATTTACTCATTTTTTTAAATTAATAATCGATACTTGGCGTTAAGAATCGATGCAGTAGATAATGAAAATTAGAATCACGATGCATCATCATGACGATTATTTTGCACACCCCTATTGTGAATATGGCGCTATATAAATAAACTGAATTGAATTTTGTATTTTATTGTGTTTTATGACTAAGACTTTGACAGATTTGTCATTTTGTATACACAAGTGTAAAATAAAAAAAAAATTGTTAAGAACAGCTCTCTAAACTATTTAATTTTTTTTTTAAAGTGCAGCCTTGAAAAACAGTAAAAAAAAAAAATATATAAAAGTAAATAAAAGTTTTTAATGGACTCTGAAAACAGCATATACAGGGGCAAACTTATTTGCCAAGCTTTTGGTAAAAACCAGGATTTTTAGTTTCTACCACTGAATAAACAGTAACAACACTGGTTGAATCACACTGTTCCACTGGAAACTTCTGCACCGTTTGATGTCAGTAAAGGCAAACTTGTTCGCGGATGACAACTTTATATCTTTCCATTTGGTGGAACGAAGCCAGTACGTGCAGTCTGTGCCAAGGTACAAAACTTGGAGGTGCACAACTTAGCAAAGAGTCTGCATTTCGCGCTCCAAGCTCAGTGGCCAGGAATGGCAGATTGCGTCATTTTTGGTGTGCGCACCCTTGTATGACGTTGCTAGTATTAAACCAAACTTTAGCAGACCAACAGGCCTCCATGTCACCATTCAGTATTTCAGGCAAAAGGTGCCCCTATAAAGCGCTGGCTAAATTTACTGGACTGTATGAGGACGTTACTCTCTGGCCAACACCAGTCCACATCTTCTGTATAAAAAAACATAACTTACTTGGCCAATGTAAAATCTTCAATACATCAAACCAACCTAAAGTTTTCTGATAAAAAATATGCTGAAAATCAAATATCGTGAATTAAACAAATTCCTGTGTCTGAAGATTCACTTTTTAAATTGAAATGCTTAAGTAGATGATCTTTTTAATGATACTGATATACAGTACAGCTAGACTTGCATAAATGATCACCTCTTCGACTGCTTGCAGCTTTTCTTCCTCCATAGCCTCTGCAATCCCAGCAGGCTTCGTCTGAGACCCACAGACCTTCCCGTCATCTTCCTAATGATAGACAGGTAGGAACTTATCAAACAACATGGCCATAGATGAACATAGAACAATAATTAAATAAATGTGAGGCTACAGTTCTTTCTGTGAAGACTTAAGAAAAAAACACTCAAGAATTACATAAAGCAGCAATGGGGAAAAGAGCAAAAGTGCAGAGAAAATTGCACTTAAAATGGATGAAAGATGTCGAAGCAAATGTTATAATGAATTTGTTATGCAGCTTTTAACTCAAGTTTCTGCACTAGACTCTGCATTTACTAGTGTCCTTCCAAGTATGATTACAAAAATTTTGAAATGCAAGTAAAATGTGCTGTGAAAATCTGTTTTCAATGATGGAAACTTCCTGACGCCTACTGCTGAAAACCTTTCTCTTCCATTTCTCTGTATCCTACCGCAGTACTTAAACAATTCAAAAGTCATCTTCCTTATCAAAGCCAGCTGCTATTTTGAATACACAACAGGTAAATTATAAAGAATGTTTTCCATTACCAGGACTCCATTGTTCTGTGCAAACTATGCAGATGTATATATTGTAAAACACCTTAGTACCATAATGTATGAGCTGGAATTCCTAACATCTCAGACCTGCTCACACTACAAAGCTTTATTTAGGATATGTTTACTGAGACACCAGGTAACTAATCCTGACACTTACCTTGTTTTGTTTACTCGGCTTACTGAGGCCATAACGCCTGGTGATAAAATAACAAGACAAAAAAAGGTCATTTACTGTGGAAAACTATGTCATAATTATACCAATAACATATCCACACTAAACTGTTAAAAGGAAGAGGTTCCATCCACCATGCCTTTATGAATAAAACATATTCATATATATGTTTTATAAGTGAAGCACTTTTTCTGACCACAACACTCCACCACATAACACATATCCACAAAACAAGCGGCAATAATCGGGGGCGTGCACAGAAAGCTCACACAGTTCCTGTACTCACAGAATAGTGATGGACAGATGAAAGAGGAATTTGACCAACAATAAAAAGAGAAACGGTTGTTGTGAGATGGTTCAAAACAACAGCCACACAATGCATTTTAAAACAAACTAAGACAGCATATGATTATACCGAGTTAGATTAAGGTCAGATGGATTGGGGAAACCTGGAAGGTAAAGTTTTAATACTCTAGCAGATAGGTAACTTCTACAGTGTAGCTCTTTTTATATGCCCTTCAAAAAAACTCAAAAACTGTTATAAATCTAGAAAATGGAAAACAGATGATGGTCTTTTTTTTATACGTTATGAGCTGAATGTCAGCCAACCTGCTGACATTCTGACCATGTTGAATAGCTGCTGCTCAAGGCTTAGCCCACCCATGCCCATAAAATGGCACTTAGAAAGACATGTAGCAAAATGGAAAAGAGCGCATTAAGTGGATTGAAATGTTTATATGAAGAAAATAATTTGCTAAAATGAAGCTTTTCTTGCCAACAGCATGATACAGTTATGAATACAAGGTTTTTGTTGGCCTGTTTTAGAGTGGAGGGCCACTAAGTCCAAATTTGTCTCTGCTGCACTAAAATTCAGGTTGCTGCACTCAATATTTAGCAGCATATCACCCTTTGACTGATAACCAGGGTTGGCCAGGCAGTGGCCTGAGGGATGGCAAAAAATGAAAGGAAGCTAAACTAGTTTAGGGTCACTCTACATTAATCTCTGTACCAAGTAGAAATAAAGCTGAACAAGCTGTATTGTCTACAAAAGTAAAAGAGACTGACTTGATTTTCACGAAGCCCTTGCTATTAAATCTATACATATATGTGGTGATGGATTCATAAGGCGTTATGAAGCTTTTCTACACATTTGCAAACTGTATTGTAATTGACACTGTCACTGAATTCTGACACCTGCTGGGCATTTAAAATTCCTACAGGCATTTTCTTTGAAAGACTTAACTTGACACCGATTTGATGAGCTATAATATGATTTAAGCCAAATTTTGCTATAATTTATTATTAAATAGTTATAGTTTGAATTGAAAATATGTTTTATATTTTTTAAACGCAATCAATTAATGTGAACATACAAAAAGGACAATTTAAGTGAACATGTAAGTAAGGATTTTTATGGATTAGGATTTATTTATATACATTTTTTTTCCAACATAACTGATAAGGAATTTGTGAATTTGGGGAAAATGAGGAGAGGGAAAAAAAGGGAGAACCACAAAGTGAGCAATATGCAATTACTGAGAATCTCCAGCAAAATTAGTTGAAAGTAAGGCATCAATTTAGAACTCTTATTTTCTTTCCTATTGTTCTTTCATTATTTACCAGATACTATTTTTTTTTGCGGGTTTTAAAGAATATAATTTAAATTCTGACAGTTTGCCATTCCAAAGAGCAGCAGGGATAAAAACCCAAATTAGCAACCCCATGCCTATTTTCCCTACCAGGAAGGACAATTGTCATTTACCCCTACGAAGTTTGTGCCGCGCAAAGCCTGAAGTAGGTGTATGCCATATGAAATATTTCTAGGTAAAAGCCTGCTTCAAATCACCACTATTTTTAGATATTTTTATAAAAAATAACTAGTTATTACTTATTTTACACAGAAAAAACCTTTCCTATTGCTGGCAAAAGTATAAATATAACATTGCTTATTGAAGAGATCATGCTACTTCTAATATGTTAATTTTTATTTTATTCATCGTTGGAGAGCAAAATCTTAAATGGAAATCTGAAAAACAGGTTTATTAACCGTATACTTCTTGTAAATAATATTAGTCCTGAGCAGGGAACACGGGTTCGTGTATTAGGTTTAAACACCCTGCAGTGTCAGGGAAGTTAACAGGTGATGCTGGAACCTTTCTAACTTGTAGATGCATAACTTTGTATGTCATTGCAATGACAGACAGACATTTAATGTGTAACAATGGTATGGCCTTAACAATTCTAACTATTGCTGAACAGCAGGGAGATTTAGCTGAAACCTCATAATAACAAATTTTTGAACAGCAGAACATGGGCCTGATTTTTTGTCTTTCAATTAGGGCTAAAACAATCGGATCAATCGTGATTAATTAATTGATGAATTAATTATCAACTAATTTAGTAATCAACTAATCTTTAAATGGAGTATAGAGACTCTAAAACATGAGCAACCCACTTAAGAGCAGTAATTATGCCAAGACAAAAAATATTTAAATATTTTGCATTTAAAGCTACAGTGTGTAATAATTACAGGGATATACAGTCAGAAATGTAATATATTATACATAACTATGTTATTTATCATCATCTACGAGCTCAGCCTCTTAACCTTAATATTTGCGTTGCCTTAGAATTCGTTATTTATAATTACATAGGAGCGGGTCTCGCAGCCATGGAGGCAGACATCTTTGCGCTACGGCAGCGCAGAGCCAACAAACTAGCGATTGCGAGATCGCCAAAACGTCACAACGATGTAGAAAAAATAATGGGTATATTTATGATCTTAAGTCTACATGAAATCTATACCCTACACAGACTAATGAAATACTATCTGTAAAATTATCTATGTAAACAAACCTCATCACTTGAGAAGGTAGGTGATGCGGACGTCGTGGAAGACATTTTGTCCCGTAACGCTCGCCGTACTGTTGGGGGGGAGAAGCGGTGGGGGGGAGATGTTCATGTTGCTGCAGTCTGCAGGCTAGATGTCGCTAAAAGTTACACACTGTAGCTTTAAGACTAAAAATATATATATATTGTCTTTCAATATGCTCTATTCAGAACTCCTCAAGTGGAAAACTTTTAGTTTCACCTGGTTTCATTTCGTAAAAAGTCTTCTTTAAGGAATCTTTGGCTATCCGATTATGAATCAGAAAAATAATCGACAGATTAATAAATTTTTTAAAATAAAGTTGCAGCCTTATTTCAATAAATATTATGATTCACTTGTGCTTTGAAGGAAAAAAAGACAAGCCATAAGGTCAGACCCTGTTAGCTGAAGAGAAATATTACCTGCCATATTCAAGCAGAGTGGAGTGGACCCTGGATTCCTCATCCAGGAGGATCCCTGCCTCCCTCTGCCTTCGGTACTTTCTCTCAGGTTTGTACACCTCCTGCAAATAAATCATTAAAAGTTGGTTAAATAATTAACCTTTACTATTCCAGTGACAGCTCTAAAAATCTCACATATTGTTGATCACAGTGTAGCAGCTCACCAGTACATCCAGAACTGCTTTTACAGCTTTGTCTTTTCTCTGGAGAAATTCTTTATCCTGATCAGGGTGTAACAAAACACAAGAACACAAGAAACACCAGAAAATGTTCAGCTCAAGCACGAAGAATATAAAACAAAAATGGTAAAAGGAGAACACTTGCCTACTTCTACCTTATTTAGTAATGGATATTTTTTAATTAATACTGGAATACATAACTTCCTCATTTTAAAAAATCCTAAATTCAATTCAAGAGAATTTCATCTTTTGTACAACCAAATCTTTGAAACACAATTAACATTTGTCAAAAGAACAAACAGCCACTAAAACAGAGCAGCTGCCCACCCAGGCTAGAGCTGCTGACATCGGATTCTCCGGGTTACGTCACAGTATCAGAGGACAAAACTCTACAACAATGTATTCAGTAATCCAATTTAAACCTGAGGATGGCACCAACATGAAGGCTTAAAGCAAAAAAAACAAAACAGGAAAGCAACAAATGTGCAGGATAATGTTAAATTATTTCCAGGTCTTGTAGACAGCACAATGAGACAACCACGTTTACAGATTATTAAAGGAAAAGTCCGGTCACATTCAGAACACAAACTTGTGAAAGTACTTTAAGTATGAAATTATTACTTACAGTTCAATAAATGATGTGTTTTTAATTAAGAGTAATTTTCATTTGAATGTGCTTTACTGGAGGCATCCATGTTTGTCAAAGAACACTACTGCCACCTACCAGTTTGTGACGTCACAATGCGGTATCGGCTGTTGATCAAGTCCCAGTGCTGTATCTGGTGTTTGTCAAAACGCACTATTATCATGATGGCAATGACCAGTGAACTGTGCGAAGCAGAGAGTAACAGATAAATGACGAGTTTTTTCTCTGGCCAGAAGTTCGATGTCAAATCCTCCCTCTTCAAGTTGGCAATCCAACGAGGAACGCGTGGTGGATCATGAATCGGAAAGGTTAAATAACTAATTTTTTTTTTCACTTTTATCCAACGTATTACAACATCCAACTGCCATGCATGTGGGCATTGTCAGTTTAACTATAGCTCTCGCGAATTTTAATGGTGAAGTCCTCTAAAAATCTTCAATAATTGTTGTTGATTGCAGATGTGTCTAGTAGTTCCCATTGTTTTGCTCATAAAGCGGAGAGTCACTGCCGGAAGATCTCAGGAGTGAGATGTTACTATATTTGGGCAAAAATGTCCGCACCCAGTTTCAGTGATCGCAACTGAAATTATTTTGATTTTTTTTTACTAATTAATGCTAAAGTTATTAAATCACGGTGAACGTATTAGTTTTAGGTATAAATAACGACCCATTGGTTATTCCTTGTTGACCAGACTTTTCCTTTAAAAAAAAAAAAAAAAAAAAAAAAAGACTATTTTTGGATGAGTAGTTTTAAGACGTGTTTTAAACGTGCCCTAGAGGATCCTCATAGACTGTGAACTTGTGTGCAATTACTAGCCTTAATGCTGCCCATGATTCTAATAAGGTTGTGTTTAAGAATAATAATCAAACATCTATACATCTTAGTCTTGCAGAACCCAAACTGAAAATTAGTGTGTTACCTCAGGGAAGGTGTGGCTCTTCTTGAACTGAGAAATGGAAAATGCTCTCACATAATCTCCCATCTCTTCTCTGGTCTCTATGGCTCGCTTCACCAACCACTGAAACAACAGTATGACTGTATGACTACATACATACATACATACATTACATACATCACATACATACACACTAGGGGTGGAACGGTTCACAAAATCCACAGTTTGGTTCGGTTCACGGTTTCGTGGTCACGGTTTTCGGTTCGGTTCGGTATATGTTTATTGTTACACCGAAAAATTTATAAAAATTATAAAGATTAATGACATTTTTTTCTTAATGAAATTAATGAAAAAATCCCAAAAAATTAATGAATTGTAATTATTTTTAATGATTCGCGGAAACCCTGGATCATTTCCGCATATTTTGCTGCTCTGAATTTAATCATCTCGTGCATGCCCTCCACGATCTCCAAGGAACTCGGAGCGGAGCGGACGGGAGCCACAGTGGAGGCTGACCGCCTGCTTTGTGCAGGCGGTCTGGAGCGCAGTGGGGCAGAGCGCTGATGGAGTATGTGGGATTTCGGGGTTAGCATGACATGTCGGTCATGTTGCTGTTAGCATAAACAAAACGTGTTGCACAATGCTTGCACACTGTTGCACTTTTATCCACAACTTTCTTTCTGCCGTCATCGTAGGTCACTCTAAATGCAAAGTGGTCCCATACAGCAGACCTATAAAGTGCTGCTGGCGCGTCTTCCAACTCCTGTTCTTTCCCACTCGCCATACCCACACGATTCTCCACAACAACTGATTTTTTCTGCTACACCCGGCTAAGCTGCTTCGCGTCTTCTTCTTGTTTACTACTGGTGGTTGGCTTTGGTCGCAGTACCGCCACCTTCTGCTCTGGAGTGTAAACGCTTCGCCTATGAGAAAATGGAGCAGCCCACATCCTCAGGTCCCTTAGCTTGGTACAGTGGCCCCACCCGCCAGCGGCCAAAATCATTTTTACCTACAAATGGTCTAACCTCAATCAATGCCTCAGGTCCTACAACTGGCAGGCCAATCACAACACATAGATGTGTTTTGAATCTCTGGATGCAAAGCGGGCGGGGTTTTGGGGGCTGGACGACAAAGTTGCGAGACGCTGAAGAAAGCACAACAAAGAAGATGGCAACACCCATTGAAGTTCTCGTTTGACTCAGCTTTGGAATCAGTTTTGGAAGGATTAGACATGTGATTTTCGTTGAAATGTGAGCAGGAAGAGGCTCTAGACTCTATGCTCATTTATAAGAAGGACGGATTTGCCGTTTTACCGCAGGCTGTTTGCTCTATGCCCTAACCACTCCCCCAGCAGTTTTCTGTCGTGTTTACAGTCAGTGGCGCACATTGGTCAGAGCTTTGGCCAACAGGCACAGACATGGTTTGAAAAACAACGGGCTGTCCTCCAAAATCTTCATCGGGGCCAGACTAACTTACACATTTAATCTCACATTTAGTCTGGTTTATCAGGGTACAGGTCCCTCTCTCCTTCATACTTTACACATTTCTCTGTCCATCATTACAGGATTTAAACTACTGCATTATCTTTCCATTAGGAAATAAAATGCTAAATAAATTATCAGCTCAGTTTATTTATTTAGGTTATATGGGGAAACAAGCTAGCTACACACTGAATTAACCTTTGGCCTGACTCAATCCCCCCCGAGCCCCACAGGTTTGCAGGCAAGGGAAAGTCTTCATCAGTCAGCTCTACTTGTGATCAGTCAGCATAAAGCTCTGCACCATCTGATATGAAATGATGATGAAACTTTAAAACATAAAAAAAAAACTTACCTGGATCACTGGGAAAATATGAATAAAATCTAAGCCTTGTATCTGATGGGGTTCAAGGCGATGAGGACACTTCATTTTTGGCAAAACAGAAACTATTTTCTCTGTCAGGGCTCTGAATAAACAAAGAAAACAAAAACAAGCATGAACCATTTTAATGCATGCACAATTAACTGGCTGCCTAAAACACCTCAACAGCTCCATAAAAGAACCTGTTGTTTAACCTCATTTATGCCCCAAACTAAAAATCATTATGGACAAAATATTCTCCTGTGTGTGCATAACAAAAACAAAGACAATTCTGGTGCGTTGAAAAGAAATCTCCTTAGTAACCTGTAGCTAAAAATAAAAACTTTTAAATCTAGATAAAGGACTTCATACTTCACTGCTGTATTTAAACTGAGGGAGGAAGTCAACATGAAACTGATTTAAGAAAGTGCCGCCACCATATCACTTACATTTTCTGACCAATGGTGGAGTTCTCTTGGAATAGCAGATCTACGTCTATGTCGAAGTTACACGTGGTTATGCACCAGGTCATTCCACCAACAACCTGTGGAGTAAGAAAGGAAGAATGAACTCAGAGAGAACAACTTCATTAAATAAGAGGACACCTAAAAGTAGAGCCTATTAAAATCAAGAAATTACCCTTTAAAGTGCTGTGAGGGTTACAAAAGAAAGACACAGAAGGAATTTACAACCTTGGTTGAGGCATACATAATGAATTTTCCAAAGGCTTCATTTTATGCTGACAGTTCTTGGCTTTAGTTTATGGGGTGTGATAGGACAGAAATAAGTTTCATCTCATGATTAAAAATGTTTTACCCTCTTAGCAAACTTTTAGCCAGCCCAAAAATGATCTGAGTTCCTGTCCATGAGGTTCGTACAGGTCAAATAGTGAAAGGAGCCAGCAGAAATCTATTTTAATGCAATGCACAGCATGCTACAAAAAGTTAAGCAGATGTCCTGAAATCCTTGGTTACTGATTAAAGAATAGTTAGTAGAACAAAAATCTGTGCAGCCCTCAGTTTTGCAAAAACCCCTTAAGCCAAATGGGCCCAGTACCAGGATTACTTCTCTAATAAAATGTGACCAGAACTCTATAAATTATTGACTATAAAACGTTTCTTTTAGACTTTTTCCACAAAACTGGTTGGAGAAAACCATTTGGTCTTTTCAACACCTTAAAGAAGACAGACACTTTTTATCACGTGAGACTTTTAACAAACAATTAAAATATAGGCGTGCATCCATCCATTTTCTGTCAGGCTTTATCCCTGCTGGGGTCGCGAGGGGTGAGGGGAGAGGCGGGGTCCACCCTGGTCAATAGTCCATCGCAGGGCAACACAGAGACAAACAGGACAAACAACCGTTCACACATACTCACATCTAATGAGAATTTAAAGAAGCCAATTAACCTAACGGTCATGTTTTTGGACTGTGGGAGGAAGCCGGAGTACCCGGAGAGAGGGCGGTGAATACTGCACCTTATCAAACGGGGACAGGCCTTTGATGCGGGCCCGGAAGTATCCCGCAGCCAACAACAGTTCCAGGATTTCCGCCAGCTTCACGCTCTGCTCCTCATCCTCCCTGCTCTCCACCTTAAAAAAAACATTAATGAAGCAGATCAATTCAGAGCAACGGGAGTGAACGAGGAGAAGCCCTGGTTTAATTATCCTATCCTATGCTATTTTAACGCTGCACGTTTTGCTCTTGGCGAACAAGATGAAGCCTGTCAGATCCCTGGCCCTACCTGAATCAGCTGGCCTTCCTCATTGTACTGAACGCCAAGTTTGGACCCTGTTCTCACTCTGTGGAAGACAGACGCCGCCATTGTAAATAACGTACTGCTAATGACAATTCACGTCATATGATCAAAGAGGTTGGCTGCTTCCTCTTCTTCTCGTCTTCTCCTCCTTCTTCTTCTCTTACAATAACAGTGTGTAGCATAATGTTTGGAGTATTACTGCCACCTTCTGGAATGCCGTGTGATCTAGGATACTTACTTGCTTTTTGTAAACGATAGTTATTCTATCAATTTAGTCTTCTTAAAAAGAAAATTAACACCCTTATTGCGTGTCTTAAAAAAAAAAACATAGAGACTTTCAACAAAAGGTGCATAACTATGAACATGGAAAAAGATGTTCCATTATCTTTTTTTATTAAAAAAAAAAACAAAAAACAATCATCACTATTTCCTCGTAAGCATATTTTTCCAATTTGAAGGAATCTGTTATCCGTTTATTTCATCCTATATGATCAAAGTATAAATTTAGACACTATTTAAAATTTTCATTTTGAAATATACTACGTTTTTGGACAATTTTTTTCTTTCCACGTTAGAATAAAAACTACATTCTTAGAATATTATTGCACTCTAGTAAGATCATATAAGACATAAAAAAAATTTGTTATATTGTTTGATCGATTAAGTTTTCACCTTATATTCGTGTTTGCATTATAACATCATGGAGGTTGATGACATTGTAGATTAGGGATCAGAATCAGAATGAAATTTATTGCCGAGTAGGTTTGCACTTACAAGGAATTTGACTTGTGTGACTTGATGTGGATGATGCAGACAAATTAGATATATATACAGAATACAGATCTATAGCCACGTACAATATGAAACATACTATATACTAGAGGTTGTTTTGTGAAAAAAATGTATTTTTTGAACCCCTGAGAAAGAAAGTTCATTGGAAAAAAAGAAACATTTTTGCGACACTTTTGTTCTTATGACGACAACGGTTCACGATAGTGACTGTGTTTACGGCACACACGTGACTGAGCAGCGGCGTGGATTCCAGCATGGCGAGTGTCTCTAGGAAAAACCGGAATAAAAATACGTTAAAGAGGAGCTGTGGTGTTGCTGCCAGCGTGGAGGATAAGGAAGCAGAGGAGGGTATGGATGGAGCTGAGGAAGAGGTCACCAGTAGTGAGGAGGACGAGGGCCAAGATGAACGAAAACGGCAAAAACTTCTGGAGGCGATCAGCGCTTTGGGTGGAAAGAGGAAGAAAACGCTGGGAGAGAGGTCTGAGGCGGCTGTACACATGTCTGAGTTCTCCGTAAACACCGAGGGGGGGCCCGGTAAGGTGGAGCTGGCCGATCTGATGGGGAGCCTAGAGAAGACCTCCGCTGTTCCAAATAAAAGGAAGAAAGAGTTGAAGAAAATGCAGCACATTAATAAAACCCTCGACTCTCCTCTTAGTAAGCAGGAGACCGAGAGAATCCAGAGGGATATGGCTTTCCAGAAGGCAGCATCAGAGGTGAGCCGCTGGGACAGCATCATCATTCAGAACAACAAGGCCGAGCAGCTGGTCTTCCCTCTCAGTCAGGAGCCGGCTGGCCCCAAACCAGTAGAGACACTGGTAGCTGGATGGAAGGCTAAGACTCCACTGGAGCAGGAAGTCTTTGCCCTGTTGTCTGCTAACAAACAGCCCCTGACTGACCCGGTCCTGACCCCTGCAGAAAAGGCTTCAGTAAAGGCCATGAGTCTGGAGGAAGCCAAGATCCGTCGTGCAGAGCTGCAAAAAGCTCGGATCCTTCAGTCCTACTATGAGGCCAAGGCTCGGAGAGAGAGAAAAATCAAAAGCAAGAAGTATCACAAAGTGCAGAACAAGGCCAAACGCAAAGAGTTCCTGAAGAACTTTGACCAGATGGTGAAAACTGACCCAGCAGCTGCCCTGCAGGAGCTCAACAAGATGGAGCTAGCCAGGATGCAGGAGAGGATGTCTTTAAAGCATCAGAACAGCAGCAAATGGGCCAAATCAAAGGCCATCATGGCCAAATACGACGATGAGGCTCGCAAAGCCATGCAGCAGCAGCTGGAAATGAACAGAGAGCTCACTCAGAAGCTGGTGGTGCCATTGAATGAGGAGGAGGAGGGGAGAGAATGTGATGCAGAAGTTCTCCCTGACTTTGTTAATGATGCAGTAGACATGCGAGATGCATTAAATCCCTGGATGAAAGGAAAACTAACTGAAGAGCCAACACAGGAGAAACTTAAAATTACAGAGACAGAGGAAAGAGAGGTAGTAGCTGCTGAGGAAGAAGAAGAGGAGCAAGAAGCTGAGGAAACGGAGGAGGAGGCCCTCCTCAGAGAGTTTGACCGCAGGAGGAACCTGCAGGAGAGGGCTGCAACAGAAGATTCAGCAGCTTCTGACAGCGATGAAAATGACCCCGCAGAGATAACAACCCCCCCCAGAAGAATGGAGAACAACTCCAAAGACACTCAAGGAGTCCCCTCTGCTGACATCAATGATGAGTCAGCTCAGCTGGAGGAGGGGCTGGAGAGGATCAGAACTGTGGAGGACCTGGAACTTCTCCATCATGAACCATCAGCTGAGGAAAAGCATCCTGGCACCACCAAAGCCCCACCCTCGGAAGGGAAATCAGTAGGCAAACTAAAGAAGAAGAAGAAGAAGAAAGGGATTGAGCTAAAAGAAGTTCTTACTAAGGAAACAAATATGATCAAAGTTCCACTCACTCCAACGATCACAGACTCAGAGAATTCAGAAGCTAAGCTTGACCAAAGGGGACTGATTAAGGAAGCTTTTGCTGGAGATGATGTTATCTCAGACTTTCTTAAAGATAAAAGGAGGCAGGAGGACGAAGGGAAGCCAAAGGTGATAGACCTGACCTTGCCTGGCTGGGGTCATTGGGGAGGTGTGGGTCTTAAACTACCAACAAGAAAGCGCAGAAGGTTTAGGTTCAAGGGTGCTCCTCCTCCACCTAGGAAGGACCAACATCTTCCCAGTGTCATCATTTCTGAGAAGAAGAGTGCCTCCATCAGCCTGCACCAGGTTCATTCCCTGCCCTTCCCCTTTGAGAACTCCACACAGTTTGAAAGCTGTATCCGCTCACCGCTGGGCCGTACGTGGAACACGGAGCGAACCGTGAAAAAAGTCACCAAACCCAGGGTGGTGACCCATCTTGGTACCATCATTGAACCCATAGCTGAAGAGGAACTGCAGAAAGCCAACAAGAATGTGGTGTCTAAAGAAAAAAGCTAGGGAGCAGCCCATGTGGAGCAGATGTTAAAAGCAACAGCACGTTTGATCAGTAGCTGTTTTTGCTTATTTAAGGCTAAGTCAGAAAACCTTCATTTAAAATGAACACAGACGGATAAGAAATTTGAATCTAAATGAAATTAAACTTTTCCCTTTTCTGTCCAGCCACATTCATGTCAGGTGACTGATAAAAAAAGATGAAATGTGTGATATCAATATTCACAGGTGCCTTCTTGCATTTGACCAGATTGCTGGAGGTGTATTGGATGTGGACTACAGTGTGAGCTGTACCTCTTCTGTGATCATCTCAGGATTTTTTCAATGTTTGCTTTGATAACTGCAACAACTCTAATACTGTGTAAATGTATTTGCTTTTTGCTAAACACAGAACAAACTATGCTTGAATATGTGACAAGATGGACTCCCTTTTTCTCTGCATGGATTAATAAAACCATATGCTTAATATTTTGTATTTCCTGTTATCTGCAATTTTGAAAAAGGAAAACAGCCATGAAAGATAATTATCTAGTAACAGGTTGGTAATAAACCCAGAAAGGGTAATAAATTACATGTGTATTTCCAGGGATTGATATTTTTATCACTTATAGTACCACTAGGTGTTACATACTGGTATGAGACTGTAAACAGCACGTTCATATCTCCAATTAATAAAAAAATTTTTTTTTATAAAATATATAATCCCGCTATTGAATGCAGCAATACATATTAAGAAATATTAACCCCCAAATCATATTTTGCTTATTAAAATGACCAGGGCTGGCTTGGACTACGTGCTTTAATTCTGCTCAATTGCCGATTACTGATCATTTCCAAAAATGAAAAAGTAAGCATATGGAAGGATATTAGGGTTTTGGAGAGACCAGAAAAATCCACAGGTTGGCCTTCATACAGAAAGATGGCTAAACAACTGTTACAGTAATGCAATAGCACAAAGTTAACTGGTGTTCAGGCAATAAAAAAGCAGTTCTATAAATAGATTAAATAAATTAATACCAAAGATCTATTAATAATAGATCAAGACAGCTTGCTCCTCTCCTCAACATAAGCAATCCATTATACACTGCGAAATGGAAAGTTATAGAATGTGCTATGTCACCCACGATACCTCTACAAGCCATAATAAATGATAACAAGCTGAGAAAACACCTTAGGGAGGAGTCAAATCCTTGACATATGGAATACAATTATTTTAAAATATGGGTTGACAGAGTAGAGTACTGAGGTGGATAGCATATGATTCAGATTTTAAACCTAATGTAACAGATAAAACATTTAGTAAATGGGAAAAAGGTCCAAATATATTCTGGGAGGTGGTTAAGAGAAATACTATACGCAGCTTTGAAGAAATAAAGAATAAATACGATTTAAACAACAAGGTCTTCCTCAGGTACTTACAATTGAGGCACTATACAGAAGAATTATTAAAAAATTGAGCTGGAATCTGGTATATTAAAGATGTTTATTTCGGCAAATGAATCAAACTTGGGGAAGAAAATATCTAGATTGTACACAGGATTGGAAAATTTGAAGAAAAGCAATACGATATACATAAAAGTAAGATGGGAAAAAGATGCTAACTGTGGACTTTTTCAGGAGAACTGGGAGGAGATATGTAGGCAACAGTGGAGAACATCTTGTTCCCCTTTGTGGAGAGAGTTTGGCTGGAAGAATATTGTAAGATATTTAGTACACCAGCACAAACAAAATACCGAGATACCAAATGTTGGAGGCAGTACGGAGAGGACAGAGCAGGCCACTTCCATGTGTTTTGGGATTGTACCTACATGGTCCCCTATTGGCAGGATTTAAAGAGTTGTATGGATAAGGTACTGTGGGTGAGTAATCCATTCAAATTTGATGATCTGTACATGGGGAGAGGGATGGAAAGATTAACAAGA